ACTACCATATCTCAACGTTCAACCGAAACACAGCTGACAAAGCAAGGTTCTTGGCAGTAGTAAGAATATAATAATAATATCTCATGACAAGTTATACAGCTATCTAGTCCCAAGCTTGGTAGAGCTTGTATTATGGGCACTAGACAACCGATAGAACCATAGTTTTATTTTCGTAAATACATATTTAATACATATAGAAAACACCCACTCTGAAACAAATAGGCATGAATACAAATGTTTGTACTGTGCGAGGAATCTAACCTGCGACCATCGAAAGTAAAGCGCTGTAAAGTAGAACCGCTACACCACCGAGTCTGTCAAGTAATGGTGCCCATGCAGACCACTTTGTTCAAAGTCCACCTCGACAAGTTGGCAACCCTAAAGCAAAGACATCATTATTGTAATGGATGTCACGGATCGCAACTCTACAAGTGTTCTAGAGAGCACTATACTGGCAACATTATCAGTCAAATCTACCAAGCAAAACTCTCCTTTATACACAATACCACAAGGTATAAACTACACGCAAGATAAGTATGCGTTCCTGGAGGCTAGATGGTGCGGCAATCGCCCTGAGCAACACATTAGCGACATCACGCTGCACGAGTAAGAAAATTATTCTGAAATTACAACGCTGAAGTGAGCTTTCAGCATTTCAGTCAACGTAGGTACTATATTGTAACTTGGAATTATATCTTTTGACATAGTTTATACAATACTAGACATATACCGCGGCACTGCTATGATATACTAATAATATATTAGTTTAAATATACATACAGTGAAACCTGGTTAAGTGAGAACTTCTATTATTGAGAATTGCAATGAGGTCCCGTTACTTTTTCACTGAATTACATACCTTTGTTAATGGAACTTTACGGACCTAGTTATTAGACCGTATTATTAAATGAGATTTGAAATCTAAGATTTTTCTATATTTACCTCTATAATAGGGACTTTGTAGCTCAATTACCTGTATAAATAAGACAAATTAATCATGTAAACAAATATAATCATGAATACAAATGTTTGCACCGTGCAAGGAATCGAACTCGCGACAATCGGAAGCGAAGCACTATGCTAAATCGCTAAACCACCGAAGCCGCACATAATATAAAAAATACTTGCGTATTAGATACTAATTTTAGAAATAGCTACCTTATTAGATATGTATATTACGTTTGAATTTTTATTGAACATTAATTCACTAACAATTTTACGAATAAGTACGTCCATAAAACGGCCCTGTTTGTCCCGTATTATAAGAAAATATATATCTATTTATGTCGGAAGATTTAGGCAAACGGGTTAGTATGTATTAGGGATGTGAATTAATAACCACTTATGAAAACACTCCGATTATTATTCAATATAAATCGATATTAATATTAAAACGTCAAGTAATTAACAGTCGGTTTTATACAGACAATTTTTTATCCATCGCTGTCTAAAAAACACATAGGAAAAAAACAAGCGGTGCCATAAAAACAATAATAAGAATACCCATTGATTCCAAAATTAGGCTTGTAGAAAAATAATATACTGTGAAAAATTTATCATTATGTAATAATTGTCGATTGGTATTTAATCAATTATTATATTTACGAATAGAATACTCTTAATAAATTATAACTCGATATTTTATACAAAATGTCACATCCCTAGTAGGAATCAATATTGAATAGTAATGTTGTGATTAAGTAAAACATGTGATTATTGTTAGTTTATATGCTAATGTCGTATAATTTTGTAACCAATAAGTTGTTAACTTACATGACTTGTCTTGAGACTAATGATAATCTCAGGCTTTTTTTCTCTGAAGACGAAATCGCGAGCTATAATAGTAATAATTTTTATTTTTCATCCAATATTTACAATTTAAATTGTTCCCTGGCACCTAAACTAAGAAACTTTTATTTTAGGTACCAGTTCTCACGTCTTACAATTTACAATTATTGGAATTACAAATTCCAAAAAGAGGATCAAAAAAGGTAACTTAAACTTAAACTTACCATCATTTGCGTTTTATATGTGTGTGTGTGTGTGTGTAATGTGTGGAAGGGCTGGTTTTACTGAATAATAATAATTCATCATACCTTTACCTTCTGTGCTACGTATAATAACGTATATTAACCTAGGACCAGACAGTAATAAAAGCATGTATTTGCCATCAGTGTTTTTGGCGCAACGCCTAACCTTATTATCAATGCCATTTTATTATCTAATGAACTTAGACAAACAGATAAACAAACATATCTCGTTATATATAATTACTTCATAACAAAATAGGTAATCAGTAGGTATTTCTCAACTAATTTGTTCTAATATAATGATAATTGCAATGATTCGGGTTATCTCTCGCTGTACAAAATAACGAGATAAATTTCTCTCAAATGTTATAAGTTCAAATTATATTTAATATCGTATATTATTATAGTATATTTTAGGCACTTATTCAAGGCCAGTTTTTTTGTATTACTATTTATTTCCCTATTAAACCATCCAGTACAAACTTTAACTAAAAAGAAATAGCAGAAAACTTAACTAAATTTGTTATCGTATGCATTTACTTATTTAGGTGTCTATGTCTAATATTACATTGAAAATCCTGTTCATGAACAACTATTGCCATGCACACTTGTATTTTTTTTATACTTCTATGGTGGCAAACTAGTATACGGCCCAAGTGATGGTAAATGGTAATCCGTAGCCTATGGATGCCCAAAACATCAAAAGTGTCACGTGCACGCTGACCCTTAAAACATATCATACAGCATGGGGTTTTTGAAGAAGGCTTCAAAAACCCCATGCTGTAGTCTCTCCAGAGCACCTCGGCAGGTAATCAATGTTTATTATAACATATACATTTAGGTAATGGTTTAGTCAAGTTTAGTGAGTAATAATAGACTTGCGCAAGTAGTATGTTGTAACAGAAGTTTTAAGTGTGTTTCAATGATTTAACTCGATCCAATAACAGTAGGTACACACTTAATATAAAATTGAAATTATGCGATACCTGTAATTGGTGAAATCAAAGCAAAAATCATTTATTCATGTAGGACATTTTAGGCGATTATGAACGCCAAATTTTTTGTAGTATTATTTTTATTCATAGCATTTAATTCAGTATACAGATTCAATTGAGAAGACCTACCAAGATACTCAAATAAATTTCTTTTTTAAAAGTCTATTTATTTACATTGTGTACTTATATAGGTGTCTATGTCTAACATTAAGTGAAAATTCAGTGCAGTGAACAACTACTGCTTTTCAGATGAAAGAGATAGAAAACGTTCCAACTCAAAATAAAAATCAATTTTCGAACATATGTATGTGCCATTTAAATGATACTCGAACACTCTGAACAAACAGACTAGACAATATAGAGTTCCTCATTTCTCGTGGGCTAAAACTCGCTTGTCTATGAATAAAAATGTACTCTGTGCTATGAATGCACAGGTGTACAACCGGTTTTCAACTGTCTAGTTATTAGAAGTTCTAATTTAGAACACAAATAATTTAGATGCCTACGCATGTCCATTAAATATTGAAAATTATATTTACTAATCAGCTGGCATTCCTACATTATAATTGTAGAGTAATCTTGATGTATATATGTTTTTTTCATTTCATATGTACGATAATGTTGCACCCGCTTGCTGTAACGGTTTATGCTGGCGGTGGCAGAAGAGGATGATAAGGTGAGCAAGAGGTCAGGTCAGTTATCCCATAGTAGTAAATTCACCATGACTTTATCACGATGGGCTAACTGACCTGTTTCCAGGAGGAACCGCGTGGAGGTCAACCTGATATAGTACATTGCTAGCAGTATTATTATTAGTACACATTACTAACAATCCTCTTTCCTCCTACATGACATTTTATAACATAAAAGAAATCTTAACTAATCACAAAGCTCTATTTAGTATAAGTAAACTAAGCTAAGCTAGCGGTACAATAAACGTAGACGTACATTAACGTACATAAACAGACTAAAATACGTTTTTTTTTATACGTTACATATAAAGATCATATGTATGTTAACTATATATTTATTGAAAAAAAAACTTATTTTAGTAAAGTACTAAAAATATTCATAATCATGAATACAAATGTCAATATTATGCGGGAATCGAATCTGCGATCATCGTAAGGTGAGCCAGTAGTGTGGTTCTTACGTTATATACGTTTATATAATTATAATACAATTTATAGTAGGTACTTGATGATATGGAGAAAATAGGTAGAGAAGGCAAATAATTTTTCTTTATTGCAACAAATAAAACAAAATAATGATAGAACGCTAACTACCGCTACATAGCTAATACTGTGTATCTTATTCTTATTATAAACGCGAAAGTTTGTGAGTATGGATGTTTGTTACACTTTCACGCAAAAACTACTGAACGGTACATAATTATACTTTAGAGTAATACAGCTTATACATCAGAATCACATATAAAATGCTATAAATTCCACGCTAGTGAAACCGCGGGCACAGGCTAGTATTCCATAAAATTCCTGTTAATAAAAATAGATGATGGTATATACGTGGTAATGTTCTTATACAACGATTGCCACTCTCTAATGAAATGGAAAACATGTCCCACATTATATGTCAAATCTACCATCAGCTTTGGAGAGCTTTCGAGGAGTACTGACAAAAACTCAGCTCTTATTATTTTCAAATGAACTTGTATATAATTACAAAGATACAAATTCATTTTTAAATTTAATTAGGGAGTATGTAGTGACTACGATCATACGATATTGCATTTTTGTCAAAAGGAAATAACCATATTACTGTATACTATTACATAAAACCACAGACAGTTTATAATACTGGATTTACATCAAGGGAAACCAATAAAAGAAGATTGCATTCCTTTGAAAAATGTAGTCATTTTAAGTTCAAGTTGTGGGACAATTAGCTCCACGTTATATGTATATATTTTTTTAGAAAAAAAGGCATAACATTGTTATACATAATCATTATTTATTTTTATTCATATTAATTTTGTACATACATTGATCATTAAAAAGTTAAAATTAAAATCTGTGTAACATACAAACATAACGCATCTGTAATAATTATTTCTTCATTTTCACTTATATATATTGATTTATACATGTGTACTTAGAATTATTTATCATTCTCATAAACGACTTGACCCTTATAATCTAATTCCAAAACCTTGCTAAGGCTATTGACATACAAATCTAATCTCTGTGTCATGTAGTAACAGCGGCGATCTTTTATCTGTCTATTCTGGTTCAGATCCAAAACACCAATTAGAAGACCATCTCGTGTGCGGGACAACCCTGGACACCTAACACCATCGGGTCCGCTGAAGTAGCTCGAACCGTAGAACAAGCCAAGGTCATTGTGGGCGGGTTTGCCGTCAGCCGAAGTGAATTCATTAGGGAAAGTTTCGTAACCCACCCTATTAATAGCTGCTGTGAAATAACAGTTGGTGATAGCGGCATTCCTCGCTTCAACATTCCACATGTACTCACTACCAGCCTCCGCAGCGATCGTAGCTGACGGATTGAATACTATTTCTGCTCCATTCAAACCGTACATCAACCAATTCAACACATGGTGACGGCCAAAACAAATATTAACACCAATCTTACCGTAGCGAGTAGCAAACACTGGGTGACCTGTGTTGCCTTCCATATAGTAGTTTGATTCGTTAAAATCTCCCACCCTGGGGATGTGGTTCTTCCTGTGCTTACCAATAACATTTCCCGTGTCGCTTATAACCACCGTTGTATTCCACAGAATGTCAGAGTGGCTATCATCTCTTTCCAGGATGGAGGAGACAATCACCATTGCATATTTGATAGCCAATTCTCTTAGGAATCTTGTGGTCTCACCCTCTTCAGCTGACTCGGCGAATTCACACCACGGTTGCTTCTCGCGAGTGCAAAATGCAAATGGCATATTCCATAATTCTTGGAAACAGATGATGTTTACACCCTCTTGGCCGGCTACATCGATGATCTTCTTTACTTTGTTAAAAATAGCCTTTTTCTGCTCACTAACTGGACGATCAGTTGGTGCGGCAATGGAATGTTGGATCACACCTACTTTAACGATCCTTGGTGGCCTTGTTTGTTCCTTTTTAGCAGGGAATGCGTAAGAGGCAATTTCGAAATCAGCCTCTTTAGCCGCCGCAATTGAGGAATCCTTTAATTTGACTTCAAGATTATCTTTTCTGCCGTAATAAATTCTATTGAACTCTTCCAGGTCTCGACCGGTGAGGTTGTTGTTGATGATGGCTTCGAGACTTTGCGTTTCGTTCTCCATATTGACTGTTTTTCGTGCGATAGGTGAAGTGTTCTGATGACTACTGATCCTTCTCGATTGGCGCCGCCTTTAAATAGGTGTTTAATGGTAATGCAATGAGCGAGCTTGTTTATCTGTGTGGTCCGATCCTGATGGCCTTCGACCCATTCCGATAAAGATTGAGACAATATATGAAAGAGAAAAATATTTGTTTTATCAATAGTACCTATGTGTACGTGACAAGATTGATGTTTTATATTCTCCGAGAGTTAACATGATCTATTAAGAAGTTGATTTAACAATCATGATGTTCTGCTTAATATGCATATAGGTAAACAGGTAGTTATATATAACAATTTAATAGTAGGTTTAATTTTTATGTTTACTAAAACTTTAAGGCACCAGAAGAACATTAATTTCACATTAATAATAATGTTTACATACTTAACTATTTACTCTGTTGGGAACAAGATAAAACATTCTATAAATATAACATCTATTGGTAGTTATGACATAATAGTGTCGATGAATAAAACAAATCTCGAACTAGTGTTAGATATTTATGTACCTATTCAAACAGACGACGTCGAGTACATTGTAATTAGATATACCTATATAGACAAAGATTTTAGTACTGGGTGTCATTCGTTTTCCATACTTTAATATTTTCCACTTCGGATTTGGTAACGGGTTAAATATATTCTTTATTGCATTTTTAAATACAAGATGTCAAATACATGTTACAAATTTTGTTAGCAAACGAGGCTTTATCTTTAAAATAGATCTATTCCAGTCAATGTAAAACAGCGTGACACAGGAAGTGCAAATAATTTAATTTAATAATAATAAATAGATTACATAATTGTCATAAGAGCAACTACATAATAACCTTAAATTATTACATTTATCTAAATATAACTCAAAGGTGACTGACATAGTGATCTATCAAAGCACAGCCCAAACCACTGGACGGATCGGGCTGAAATTTGGCATGCAGGTAGATGTTATGACATAGGCATCCGCTAAGAAAGGATTTCGATTAATTCTACCCCCAAGGGGATAAAATAGGGGATGAAAGTTTGTATGAAACTTTGTCAATTTTTAACTCATCGAGCTGAGAGTTTGCATTCATAAAGCTACTATGACGTAGGCATCCCCTAAGAAAGAATTTTGATAAATTCGACCCCTAAGGGGATAAAAGTTTGTATAAATCTTCTTAGATTTTGTAGGCCCTAATTTTTTACACACGCTAAACAAAAGTAAAGCCGCAAAAACTACACTTAATTAATAATAATACTTACTACTACGCGAGCGAAGCCGCGGACAAACACTAGTAAATAATATTTCTGATAATTTTTAGTAAATGTTAAACTAAAAACTAAAGAATTAAAGTCAAATACAATATACATATAAATACAATGTATAAATATATATATATGTATGTATGTATATTCATATGAGTATTACTAGGTTATATACGGTGAAGGTGAGTGTTGACCTATGAAATGGAGCCCCTAATTCCCTGCACCCGGGTCACAAGTACAGGGAACTAGTCAGAGTTTCCCATTCTGGCACACGTGTGAATCCATGGAATTCTAAGTTCATCTCTCCCCTAAACTCCGATATGATGGGCGTCAAGTGATGACATGTTATCTCTGATGCTGGTATATGCGATGTGTGTATCTATAATGATTAGCACTGGGGGGAAAGGTATTATTAGTAATGTGGATTGATAACCCCATTGCTAGCAATGTACCATGTCATATTGACCTCCATGCCCCTGGAAACCATCGTGATAAATTCTTAGTGAATTTGTCACGTTGGGCTAACTGACCTGACCTCATGCTCATCTTATCATCCTCCACTGGTGCCCCGCCAGTGTAAACCGTTAGCGCAGGCGGGTGAACCATTCCATTATCATACATAAACAAAAAAATATTAGCGCCTTGTCTTTTTTGCCGTTCCAATAACGATAGATCTCTGCTGGAAACTATTGTGTAATGCCTGACGAATGTAATAGTACCTAATGATGATAGTCCCAAGCTAAGCAAAGCCTGTATTATGGGTACTAGATAACTGACATAGATACTTAAATACATTTTTTTTATAAATATATATAAAAAACACTCAGATCAATACAGACAATTATACCTACTCATGAATACATATATTTATACCGTGTGAGGAATCGAACCCGCGATCATCAGAAATAAAGCGGTGTGCTAAATCGCTAGACCACCGCGATACTCAAAGTGACCTCGGTGGTCTAGCAAGCCGCTTTACGTCCGATGGACGCGGGTTCGATTCCTCGTAAGGCACAAACATTTGTATTCATGAGTATGATTATTTGTGTCGGTCTGGGTGTTTTCTATGTATAATAAGTATGTATTTACAAAAAAAAATCTATGTATTTGTATCAGTTGTCTAGTACCCATAACACAAACTTTAGAGAATTGTCCTGAGATTATTATTATTGTTATTCCATCATCATCATCATCATCATCTATAACAAAAATAGTCCATACTTAGGTATACTTCATTACTTAGTAACTAGTGTGCTTACCAAATATTTATTACATTGTCAAACAATTTTAAAACAATATAACAATGTTTTATTTACGTAGGTAGATACATAACTAAATACAATTCGTTGTTTACCAGAAGACGTGAATTACAACATACATAAATACCTAACATAATATATCTCTCTACAGACCTCGAAATAACTTATACCTACTTCTGCATGTATAAACGAGATATTTATTGATTACTTGGTTGTTTCATTTCATTATAATAATACTTTATACATAGATTATATGCTATGTACTTTGTTTTGATCAGTGTGTGACAAGATGGAATCGTGCGCAGAAGTGAATATTGACGATATAATCAAGAAAAACTTAAATTCTGAACAATTAAAACAATTCAACAAGATATATTACGGACGTGAAGATCATTGTGAATTAAAATTGAAAGAGTCTACGATAGCTGCTAGTAAAAGTGAATGTTTTCAAGTTTGTGCTTATTCGTTCACGGCTTCTAAAGAAGAGATTAGAGCACCAAGGCCACTAAAATTCGGATTAGTGCAACATTCTATTGTTTTACCTACCCATTATCCTTTGAAAGAACAAAGAATGGCTATTTTCAGGAAAGTAGGTAAGTTAATAGAAATTGCCGAATCTGAGAGCGTTCAAATTCTATGCTTGCAGGAAGTATGGTCAGCACCCTTCTTCCTGTGCACCAGAGAGAAAGACAAATGGGCGGAATTTGTAGAATCCTCAACTGAAGGACCAAGCGTGCGATTTCTGTCGCCGCTAGCTAAGAAATACAATATGGTGATCATTTCCCCCATTTTGGAACTAGATGAAAATAATATATGGTGAAACACAGCTGTAGTGATTGACGAAAATGGTAATGTCATGGGTAAACACCGTAAAAATCATCTTCCTAGTATGGGCAGCTTCAGCGAAACATCATATTACAAGCCAGGAAATACAGGTCATCCGGTATTTGATACCAAATATGCTAAAATAGCAATAAATATTTGTTACGGTCGGCACCAAGCACTGAACTGGTTAATGTTTGGCCTCAATGGCGCCGAAGTGGTATTTAACCCTGCAGCAACAATAAGCGAGTTTGGAGAATCTTTCTGGGGTGTTGAGGCCCGCAATGCCGCTATAGCCAATAATTATTTTACTGCAGGCATAAATCGAGTAGGTACAGAAAAGTTCAGTGTAAAAAATGGAAATGAAGAAAAGAACATTTCTAGAACATACTACGGTTCAAGTTATGTAACCGCTCCAAATGGGTCCAGAACACCTGGTCTTGCAAAACATTGTGATGGGCTCCTTATAACCGAAGTGGATTTAAACTTATGCAGACAAGTAAAGGATCAGTGGGGGTTTAATATGACTTCTCGACTAGATTTGTATGCAAAAGAGTTAATAAACTTAAAACAGAAATAAATAAAGTTTAAACTATTTTGAAAATACATGTAATTATTTTATTTTAAATAACATTAGAATTAATGCAGGAAGCAAATGGTAATAGTAATTGATAAACCCCTAATCCCAAATACACAACACTGAATTCTGAACTGAAAAATTTTAAGTCCTAATAAACCAAATAAAAAATAGTTTAGATATTGTTATAAAATCCTAAATATATTTTATATTGTATTTAATAAAGGGTACCTTGTTTATAAGAGGTATGTTAATAACATGTTTCTTTATTTTTCACATTAAAAACTTTTTAGAAATATCCGAAGCCTAATTCGAAAACTACGCGTTCCCAAGGAATAATAACCTTAAAATACAAATAATTAAATGAGATTCTATTTAAGGAAATACCTACTTATGTGAAGTTATTTTTGTGCTATTATTACTATTATAAAAAGCGAACGCAGATATCTTGTTTTGTTCTACGATATTACCTTAACACTGAGCAAGTAGTCACTATGTTTGATGGGAATTTTGGATATATTTTGCAGACAATACATAAAAAGTCGTTGATTTTTAATTATTTACAGAGAAGCTACTGTAACTAATTAGATATATTACAGCATAGATAAGAATGTGCTCAGCAATATTTTATCCACTTCGCAAAAATATAAAGTGGTCGGTAAATATGATAAAGTTATTCTGAAATTAGGATCTATCCAAAGCCCAATAAATTAAAAAAAATGTGTGATAGGATCTGTCGCCGGATGATATGTCATTTTTCGTTTTTAAATTTATAATTTCTTAGTGTGAAAGAAAACATACATTAACTTTACAATAAAATGGTAAGGATAATAATTGGCACTATCATAATTATTTGTTTAATTGCTGTTATAAGAAACACTTATTTCGTTTCTCTATTTGCGTGTATTAGCAATATATATAGTTAGAGAAGTGTAGTCACAACATTACAAAGCATATTTGTTTTTTCCACAATAAAGTAGTAAATTATCAATATATAAGACTATATTCAACTTTAGTTTGTTTTATATTGTTATTGTTCTCTTAGTTTTATGTTTTTAATGTATTTCCATAGAGTTAAGTTATTATAACCTATATTATTTCCAACTTTGCAGTCGATCTTAGCTTATAATGGTGGTGCAGTGGTAGCGATGAGAGGCCAGGACTGTGTAGCTATCGCTACAGATAAACGATATGGTATCCAAGCACAGACTGTCTCTACTAATTTCCCTAAAGTGTATCAGATGGGACCTACATTGTTTGTTGGACTGCCCGGTCTAGCAACAGACACCCAAACAGTACAGCAGAGATTAAAATTCAGGTATATAAAAGATTCCCTATTTTAATTATAACATATAGTTTATTATATAAGTAATAAGTTACTGGAGCCCAATTTTTAATCTGGACCATCTAAGGAGACAATTATTCTACTGGGTATGACAACTTAAGTTTTACCACATCTGCTCCTAGTCTTCAACTGATTGTAAGATGGACACAAAAAAAACACCTTTATAGGAATTTTCAAAACAATAGTATAAGCAAGTAAATATTGGTTGCAGGGTTTAGAAATAAATAAATATATAGTTGATAAGTGACTTTTCTGTGGACTATTTTAGATTTAGATTTAATATAAAGAACAAATGTACATTTCTTCCCAGAATGAACCTATATGAGCTAAAAGAGAACAGAGTTATGAGACCGAAGACATTCTCCGCAATGTTGTCCAACATGTTATATGAAAAGCGTTTTGGTCCATACTTCATTGAGCCAGTTATCGCCGGTCTTGACCCCTACGACAACCAGCCTTATGTGTGCAATATGGATTTGGTTAGTTTTATACAAAATTATTATATTGTTACAGCTGGACAATCGGTGAGATTGTGAAGATAGAATTACACAACACTATATCACTCTGTACACTCATAATAGATTGTAGTAAGACAATATTGCTGGCTTGAAATATTGTGGTAATTATTATTATGGTTCTATAAGTGTAAGTGTTCAGTTGTATAGGATTAGTTGCAAATACCGCAACTAATCCCACACAACTGAACCCATTGACAACAATTGAACTTGCACACAAATGAAATTTGCAAAATTCTCCAGTTTTAAGCATATTGTATAAGTAATAAAGTATAACTCAAAATTTATGCTTCCTAATCAATATGAGGTAATATCCATTCTTCCGATATTCCATGGAGTAGGACATTATTGCATAATCAAAGGTAAAAATGAAAATCTTTTTTCTGCATTGAGACTTGTTTTTGACTCATTGTGTGAAAGTGGACATCAGCCTTATGTAATATGTAGAAATGCCTCTTCCAAGTATTTTATGTAATATGGAGAGATAACTAAAGGACATTAATTATAAATATTTATTATAGAAATTTTCCTCAGTAAACACTAACTAAATTACCATAGAATCACTTATTTTTGAAAACTATAAAGGTACAAAATGCAATTTTAATCGTTACGTCAAATGATATGAGTGAATAGAATTCCTAGAGAATCAATTGACATCTAGAACAGGGAATACTTATTCTAATATACTAAATCTATTCAACTGTCATTTGCAGATCGGCTGCCCAAATGAGCCTGAAGATTTTGTAGTGTCAGGCACATGCTCAGAACAGCTGTATGGTATGTGTGAAGCTCTGTGGGAACCAAATCTCAAGCCTGATGAGCTCTTCGAAACTATATCACAGGTACCTACATTTATTTCTATGTTTTTTAATATTTAATATTTTTTTATACTACATGTAGACATTGCCGAAATAATACCATAAAAATAAATTAATACCATACTAAAGTAGAATCTGATCAAGCTTAGTTTTCACGGTCATAACCGAAACCGATTTACAGCTTGGAACTGAAATTTCCATAGAAAAATCATGTTATCATGAATAAACTAAAAGAAATATTGTCACGTCATCATGGCTTTAACGGACGTGACTATGGATGACGGAATAATCGTCGAAATTCGAAGTTGTGATGGTTTAGATATATGAACAGTATGGTTACATATGTATGTATGAAACGTAACGTTAGTTTATCACTCTTAACTTGTAGCTTGTCACCACGCCTGACACCGAATCAATCACGCTAAACAGAAGGTCTGTTTAGCGTGATTGATTCGGTGTCAGGTATAGTTTTTGTTACGGCCGGAGTTAGACTAAATTTCAGCCGAAACCAAACCCGAATGTTCGTTCAGCCTTTTGGTTTGAGCTATTACTTAGGGCTAAAGAGACTTGTAGTACAGCAACCCGCATAGGTCTACTGTGTTCGTCCTTTTTGAGCCTTTTGGCCTGACTCGATACAAATGTATTATTTTCACACAGGCGCTAGTGAATGCTGCAGACAGAGACGCAATATCGGGTTGGGGCGCTGTGGTGTACATCATTGAGAAGGACAAGATCACAGAGAAGCATGTCAAGACGAGAATGGACTAGCTTATTATAAGATATAACTTAATTGGGTATTACATTTCCTTTCTATAATAAAATTCTTCAAAATATTATATATCTTTCTTTTAAAAATTATATAGTAAATAATTTTTATACTCACACGAGTATTCCTATGGATAAAAATTCTTAGATTTTCAGTTATTGCATACTATTATTACAAATGCGAAGTGTGTCTATCTCTTTATTACGTTTGCATGGCCTCAAACAGGTCTTAATGAATTTTAATATAATATTAATATTAAAATAATAGTAATAAAGAAGACAATTCACACAGCGCCATCTAGTTCCAATGTAAGCAAAGCTTCTGTTATGGATGCTACACAACTGAAAGTTACACATAGAATCATTTTTAGTAAATACATATGAAATATCCAGACCGATACAAAAAATCATACTAATGAAAAGTTGTTTGTACCGTGCGAAGAAAAATATTAAGGCGGTGGTTCGTTAGACCACCAAGGTGATGAAGATAGGTGTATCATAGGGTCCACTATATCCCAAAAAAGCAAACGAAGTCGCAGATACCAGCTGGTTTAACCTGTAGAAATTGTTGCTTTCCCAGTACTCCGAAGATTCTGCCTCCGTAAATAAATAAAACACAAGAATATAATGCAGAAACTTTATAAACCGAACGTTTAAAAAATTAAGTTTCAATTTTCCATACACATTTTTGTCTTTACAAGAATAAGAGACTAGAGAATTAACATTTCAATCGTGTTGCATACATGCCGAATAACCTATGTTCGTAGCGAAGCTATCGTATGTTAATAAATATTGCCGAGACAGGCACGAGGCTGCCACCGTCACCGTTAACAAGAAAATAAAACCTATTCAATGTAACAACTACAAATAAAAATAATATTACCAACCTAAACAATGGCAACACGTATGACATAATATTATTAATCATTCCCATGACCAACACATTGTTCAGGAATCTACGTTGATGTCGTGAAGCTGAAACGCTTCACATTGTGACCATTGAGGTATTATGTACCGTCAGCTTCATACAGACAGGGTAGTCAATATGTTGGGAGTAAAATTTCAATTTCATAATAACATTAAGTCAAATCTGACTACAATTTTTCTCTGCGCGTTTTCTCTAATTTAATTTCTAAATTTATCCATACGTATACATCCATATTATGTCTACCCCAAATGAATGGGATACAAAAGAAGCAGACGATGATTTATCCATACTTAATTTGGCGAAAAATTGTAATTAGTATTTTTCTTTACATCAGTTATAAATTACGAAGAAAAAAATTTGATTTGCAAAGATCTATTTACCTTGAATCTATGATTAATTCGAAGGACATGTTTAAAAGGTAAATATTATACGAAACTAGATGGTTACAACAATATCATTAGTCTAAATGTACACATTTAAATTATGTTCCTAAAATAAGTTTGACCATCCTTAACGCTACCTACATGAAGCTGACAGCATATTTCAGAGGAAACACCATACTTGCCGCATTATTCTGCTATCGACGCAACCCGAAAGTTCGGTCAATTAACTTATCGATTGCGGCGACAGTACCGCAGATTAATGCGGTATCCACTTATTTTGTTGATAAAAATATTCGTTTGCATAAAAATAACGCGCGAGACTAAAGTAAATTCAAGAAATTAATATCATTTATATTTCTACCCGCATTTTGTGTGCAATATTTCCTCTATATATTAGTAACATATACCTCAATGATTGAGTGACAAAGAATTATTGAAACTTGGATCAACCACTCCATAAACACGTTAGCTTAATATGACTATTCATTTGGAACATTTTTTATATATGTATAAAATGATACTAGTTCCGTCGATATGACAATTGATTAATACGTACATAGTTAAAATCGATTAAATCGGGGCGCTCCATTCGTAATAACTAAAAGTAAAATTAATATCTAAAAGTAAACAATATCTATCACAAAATCTATGCTTTGATAAAAACAATAGTGGATTCACGGACTTATTTAAATATATACCGCAATAATACCAATATACTATATTTTTGGGTCAATTGTAATTTTTAAAAAGTAATGGTACTGAGTTTTCTATAACCAAAATCAAAATTATATGATTCTCACAAGTACAAAACTTATATACATGTAATGTCAAACAAGCTAACAGTCCACTTGATGGTAAATGGTAATTAGCATGTATGCATGAACAGCGCTACAGATATCACATTATCATGGGACACCTGTGATACCATGGAAGTATTGCCTTTCCAAAAGACTCAAGATGTCATTACCAGTATCCTGTAATTTAAATACCTAATCTGCACCTACCTAAATTTAATACATTTATGATCTACGATCCTGCTAAAAAATCTAATAACGATGGAATATCAATTAGAGAAAAAGTCGGTTCCAAATTCAATTTTGTAGCTGTAATATATAACTGAACGATTTCCACACATGATGCTGTAATAATAGTCTAATGTTGAGATAACTAAAAACCATCACAACCACTCCTTCAAATCAATAAACGCATTAAATAGGATGCAACCGTTTTTAATTTTACAGACAAGCTTCAAACTTGTTGATTTCCTCTCTGGGGTAAAATCCATAACGCGGTTTTCAATTCATTCAATCATATACCAATGCTGTATAATTGACAAAATTCCAAAGCTAATGAGATATCAATCTATGCTATAGGCACAATAATCTCACAAACTCACTTATTCTACAACCATAACCGTTTTTGTGAAATGCCTGAACATCAGATCTTCAAATATAAATATGACGCGAAAAAGACTTCGTTCTTGTTGTTTCTTGTTTTGTACCAATACATAATCAGCTCATGTAATATATAATATAGTAAGTAAAAATTGACACGCATAATTTTCATATAGATATAGGTACTTGCGGGATCTATTTAAATCTATGTCCTTATGTGGGTTATATTTTAGAAGTATAAGTCACAGAGTAGATATAAAGAGGTCGAATACGCATCGTATAAGGAACTAGTGATAATAGGTATAGCAAGTTTTTTTGGTTATGAAATTTTCATCAGTTCAAATCCCCTTTTAAGTAGAATATTCTCCATTTGAACTTTATTAGAACGTTTGTACAGTCTAATAGACTAATACTATTATTCTAGTGGAAACACGTACGTTTTCACTTGAAATAGTCTTCAAAAGTGTATAACAAAAATAATGTACATATAACAGAAATAATGCATTATAAGTACTAAGAACAAATCACACAGTAAAATACCTTATGCAATTTCCTCTTAATATCTACTCTATGGTATTAGGCAAACCCGAAATACTAATATCAGATAAATTATATTTGAACACACAGTAAAACTATTATAGTGGCATATAAGTCGAGTTCCTAATTCCAATGAGACAACACTAGTTATGACATACGCCGGCACTATTGTCGTCCAATATTCCAACTCACCAACATTTGCTAATTGATGATAAACCAAAACACTACATTCAAATAAGTAGGTACACGTTCAAACCTCATCCTCTGTGAAGTACGTAGATGATATACCTCGCCTGAGTGAAATAACCAAACGACCTGTTCGTGCGAGTTTACCAACTCATTTTATCTACGTTTACTGCAATCAGAGCTAATACTAGCAAACACGATCAGACATAGTCATATTAACTAACTGCAACTTGAAATGTTGACACAAACGTTGGTATGTTGGACGATAATGTGAAACAGCTTTAAATTTTAATATTTCATCACTTTTAGCATGTTGCGTAGTTACAAAATACCTGATTTCCCCAACCACATTCCATTCTATAAAAGTCTTACAGATAAAAGCCAAAAGTGATAAAATCAAGTATCAAAATTACAATTTGAATTCGCTATCGCCGCATACGGCGCGCAATATCCAGAGAACAAATCATAAAGACTCCCATAACAATTCAAGTCTTAATTCGATATAGAATAATAAATAACAAAATCTTAAACCGTACAACTTTCTAAGCTAGATAGAAACTAAGCAAACTTTAGGTATATGTATATTGGCGAAGTGTTGTGAATAATTTGGAAATTATAATGTCAAAGTGTCACTTGGTCTCTATTTTAGAAATACTACAAGTAATCCTCAAAATATGCGTCCGATTAGATAATAAAAATAATACCATTCCTTCCCTTTATCAAAATACCATTCACTTAATTTAACCGAAAATAAAAGGTAAAAATCGTAATACCAAGTGAACTTTCATGGAACTTATAAACATACGTATACACAAGTATGTTTATTTTATATGTACTATAAACAAATAAGGCCTGTTTCACAACGTAGACACAGTCAGCGAACAATTCCCTTATATACTCCCTACGTCACGACTCCTATAACCATTATTTGGGAACGTCACACTTCCATCAGTGTGAAACAGGCCCCGAGTCATACAACAGTTGTATCCTAACAACATTCACATAATTAATTTCAACACGTGAACATTCTAATTTAATGATATTTAACATTATTAATTTGTCCATACTAAACTAAGCGATAGCGGAACATTATAAAAGCTAACAACGAGTTATGAAAATTATTGCAAAATGTGCTCTTAAAGATTTAATATCAGTTCAAATATTAGACGATGCGTCCGATATATTGACAACGCCGAATTCGGAGTTTGCACGCACATTTCAAAGTACCCACACGGACGCACACGATTGCCGTATACGGTGCCATCTATTGTCTATACTTGGAAATTACTGCAGTTCTTCCACTAAATTCTTAATCCAACTTTTAAGACACAAAGCTGCAAATGCAGTTGACAGTATACGGCTATAGGCGTCTGAAGCGCGTATTGCAAACTATTATATTTATCAAAGAGTTAGGATATAAAATACTATATGTACTCAACCATGATTAAAGTAATAAATAACTTATAATTTCTAAAAATCTACGATGATTTTCAAAGTGCTAAGGAAGATTCCAGTAATTTCCATTATAGCCACAAATATTTTAAGAGATAAATAATAAAATTCAAAATCATTGACAGACCGTATAAACATTACAATACTATGTACCTTTTATAATGATTTTACACCGTACCATTACAAATTACTCTACCTTGTTGAATTCCACACATTTCCAGGACCATACAACAATTATCACGTTTGTATATCACGTACGTAATGTGATAACTTTCGTACTTAATTATTTTTAATACTTATTCATTTTTCACTAATATTTTATAAGTATATGGGGAATTTATTAAGACTTACTCGTTTTCGTCCTTCGCGACAATACGCAATGTTATGTACAACGCGCTGTAACGCACCGTACTCACTCTGAAGAAGACTTCTGGATTAAAGTGAAATAATTGTTTCGTTGAACAATCTAGTGATCAAGTAGATAAACTACTGGCAGCTACCCACATTAACATCGGTGTTATGCCAGTCAGCTCGTGACCGCGACCAGTGCAATCTAATCGAAATGTTGAGAGGGTAAATATCTTTTTTTATCATACAATTTTTCATGTTACCATCCAGTGAACAATATAAATGATATTAAATAAACATGGAAGTTTAGAAACAACTATAGTAAGTTCAATAAATTTCCGTATATATTCATAAAAGACTTTCATACTGACTGACATTAAAGTTCATTATACTTAACGATACCAACTAGCGACGCTACCCAAATACGAATCATGCCCATTCACCGACAATGATATGGCTGTAAAGACGCAGATACGCGAAGGGGAAAGGATGCCAGAAATTCTAATTCCTAATTTCATGTAATCAAAAAGCAATTGTCTTGTAATTGTATGATTTTCTTTCTTAATTAAATTACGATATCTTAGCACGTTTTATTTATTTCTGTTTTAATGAGTTCCCGAATTTCAGCACTGTTTCAACCACCATCACGGGTAAACTGAATAGCAGCGGGTAGATGGTAAATAAAATCTTTTATGGGTAGACATTCGTCCGCCATCACACGTCTTCGTTTATTACTACTATTGAAACTCGATCGATACTCATCTCAGCAAATATATACTCACAGTATCCTTAAAACACTTTTTGATCACGATTTTAGTTTTTGTTTCATTAGGGCATTAAGAGAGTCTGTAACCGTCTTTTTTACCGATTATATTGTTATACATCTGTATTTCGTCAGCTTCTCTGACCATTCACTAAAAATAATAAAACGTGGTACAATCCTGCTATTTTTCCTAATTGTACATATAAAAATCGCGTCAAATTTAAAACCCTATATAATATTTATAATCCAATAACATCCATTACCTATCCCCTTAGTCCACGCTTGTTTTTTTTTTTATAAAAAAAATGTATGACGTGTGAATACTTTGAAATCGCGTCTAGACTATTACGACGAGTGTAACAATTCGCACGCGAAGCGAATAAACATGAGAGATTTGGAAACGACAATATAATCCAACTCTTTCGCCGATATGAGTACCACCTTAACAATACACCTCCGTACCACTATAACACTGTGAATTTTATTATTTGCGTTTTCTATACGTACTTATACTTACCGCTAAGAACAATAGATGAAACAATAAAAACCGGACTAAAATAACAATTCAATTGTATACATCTGTCATATTTTCGCTTATGGAGTTATTAAGGGGGTCTTCCTATGTGATGGGTTGAAAAAATCGATTTTTTTTTTTTTTCATAAATTGCTCCCTTAACATGTCTAGAATACGGTAGTAAAGCGATTTTAGAAAATTCGAAGTCGTTTTAAAGATACAGCAGGTAAAAGAAAGAGCGGTTCGGAGCGGTGAGTTGGCAGTTAGAGACCGGGCCTATTGTGTACCGTCGGCTTTATACCTGGCCTCCCTTTTATTAATATATTTGTTTATACAAGTTTAGACACGTTTCTACAGACTTAAACAGAAATTTCTATTGTTATAATATTTTACCGAAGTTATTTTAGTCTTGGTTGAACTTCGAAGAGAGCAACAGCTACAAATTATTTTTTTTCATAATGAGTGGACGGAAAGGAAGTACGAGTGGATTGGTTCTTCTGATGAAAACCCTCAGCATCAATTTTGTCCAGAAGGCGAAGACAGTTGGTGTAAATGGCGTAAGGCTGAAGCTAATAATGAACTGGACCAATTTCATCACGATAAACCACCTCTAATTCCGCAAGTCCAAGAAGCTATCAAACCGGTTTTCGAAGATTTATCGAAAGACGAATTATTAATTCGTTGTTTAGGAGCAGAGACACAAAACAATAACGAATCTTTGAATTCTTTGATTTGGACTTTCGCTCCTAAACATCTTCATTCTGGTCCCAAAGTTGTTGAAATTGCTAGCTACTTAGCAGTTATTATCTTTAATGAAGGTTTTCAAGGTATTTTAAAAGTTATGTCGATTATGGGATGCCCTGTTGGTCGTGAAGCCCAAGCGTATGTTGAGAAACGGGATGAAAAGCGAATCTTACGCTCTGAGCGGCGCGTAAGTGATGTCGTTAAACAAGCCAGGATTGACTCAAGAGCTGAACAATCTGCTTTAAAAGAGTTTCACGAGGAAGAGGAAGGAATACTCTATGGACCAGGCATCGCCGATTGAGAGTAAGTTGATATTTTAATAGTTTTTAACGGACTTGAAACTTTAAACGCGTTTTTCTCAAAACTGTGTTTTTCAAACTTTCCTCCATTGTATCTCAGAAACGGCTGGACCGAATTACTTGAAATTTACAGGGCACACTCAATATATGTAAACGCATGGAATGAACTATTATCAATCGAAAATTTTCAAAACTTCGATTTTTTTATAGCAAAAAACAAAAAAAAAACGCCTAATTTGCAACTTTTATTTCAAATGTCTATCAAAAATCCAATTTTTTTTATATTCATTTGATTATAGGTCATTCCGTGCTTTTAAGCCTACAAATTAAAACGCCGTTTTTTTTTTTTTTTTTTCAGATAAGCCGATCAGCCGGAATCGTGGAGGAAGTGGGAGCTCTTTTTTTCGAGGCGGGGGTGTTCAGAGCGCTGTAACTCTAGTTTGACTGAATATTTTTAGCTGAAATTTTATATTTATACTGTCCAAATATGTGTTAATAAATGATAAAAAACTTGAAGCTCTAAATATTTACTGGTCGTAGAAAAAAAATCCTAAAATATCCCTAAAAAACAGGCCGTCACATAGGAAGACCCCCTTAATAAGTTTGAAGAGATCGCACATCATTATACGTACAAATGACAGTCCGAAATCTGAAAGGTTTTTTATATAATACTTATATATACATATACGTAAAAGATGAAAGCATTCAAATGAAGAATACATCTTATTTAAATAATACTTCGAAATTAAACATGGCATCTCGAAGACATTTTTTTGTATTGTACATATATTTGTTCTGTATTGCACACAGCACGCATATAGTGCTATAGATACAAATAAATCGTTTATCTATCTATCTCTTTCTGAACGATAGAAAGTCATCACGTGTGTGTGTCTCTCTCTCGCTCTCTCTCTTATATACTTTTTGTCAACGATTACTACAAAATAGTGGCAATAATCAAAATTGCAAACCGTCATTTGTATTTACGATCTTTTCTATTTTATTTGTAACTGGATAAGTTACAATCTGATGAATATACTGAGTTGCTATTTTAATCCGTTTTCTATCAATTTCTGTATTGCTCTAAGACTCATCGTTCTGTGGAGCATGTCTGTGACAGTAACAACAATATGGCGCCGCTTCTCTTAGTCACTTATAGGGGGTGTGAAATAAAATCTGAATTCACTAGTGACAGTCAGTCTACCTTATTTTGCATGTGGACAGATTCTCAAAATACAGTAATCTGTGAGGTACATACAGCTATAGACCTAGGTCACTCATTTATTATACTTCTGTATACTCCTCTTCTCCTAGTACTTTAGACGTTTTACCACAAGAAATTATGTTTTTCTATTATTTGTTAAAAAATAATGTTTTATATATAAATCCTCGGTTTTTTCAAAACTTAGTAATTGATGATTTATGTACCAATAAGTCGATATAAATAAAGAAAATTATGTTCATTTGTGATAAATCACTATCATTAAATTGTAATATTGTTGCCACTATTATTATTAAGATTTTTTTTACCATTCCGTTCTAGTGCCACCTAGAGGTAGAAGGTGGTCTTTTAGCCTTTTTCCCGTCTACCCAAAGGTTGTCTGGAAGAGATTTTATAAGCCTTGAGCCCCCTTTTGAACCCTATTAGTCTCTTAACGTTGAGTTCTGTAATTTATCTGTCGCAATTAAGAGTACATAAATAAACCGTTTTGCTCACTCACTAAGAATAATATTATTCACTATGATCATTGAACAAGTATCCATTATCAGTTCTATGATCATAACAGAAGACTGCTTGATTGTATATTACGTAAGTTTATTTCGCTTTATCACATGCCGACTATATACAGCTTGTATTTTAATCTTCTGCGAAATTATATTTTGTTACGCCTTTTTCGATATTGTTCTTTTTTAGAATCTGTCCGTATGCTCACAAAGAAAATCTACGACACCCTGTAAACTCCATATAAATCCTATAAGACAATCAAAGTGGAACATAATCAGTCGAGAAACTAGCGGAAACTAAAACTGTCCCAGATTTGATAAGTTCCATTGACCATACTATAACAATACATGCCAAAATCTTTTCTAAATGAGTAATGCCACCCTGCCACCAAATCCTAGGTTTCTCAAAGTGGGCCAATCCAATCGCTTGGTGTACACCAGATATTCATAAGTAACATAAATTGTGATGTGTACCTTTCCTACACAACAAAATTTATGTAATACCCCCATTACATTAATTTAGCTTAGCTGTTTTATTTGCATTTCTAACAAGCATATTATTTTTTAATAATATTAACCTTAATTGTTCTATCAATAGTCAGTTTCATAAATGGTTTGCAATGTTCTAGGAAGCTTAATAGGAGTATGTGAAGTTATAAAAGTTTGAGAAACCGTGATTTAACTTAGTAATTGTCAAGGATTAAACAAATTGTGACAATAAATTGTCATCTGCTTTTTTAAGATAATTTGTCATATTGTATTGCTTCTAGGTTCAATTAGTTTTTCCTTTGGTTTTGGACCACTCATTTTCACCAGGATGTCGTAAAGCACAAACTCCGGTGCAAGAGTGGGAAAAACTCGAAATAAAAGTATTTAAAGCCGAATGGCCAGCATCGGCTATATCGTCCTCTTGAACCCGAACCGAGTGGGACGACAACTAGTCGTTGTCATTATGATGATGATGGCATGCCTGTTACGTCAGAGATGAAGTTCCGAAGTGATAAGAGAAGCGTTGACGGTGGGAAGTTAGTTGCCCTCGATGGCCTTTGTGACGAACTCTATGAATCGCTTCCCGTACTGCTCCGGGTCGCAAGTTGATATGCCGTCCACATTGCTCCCGTATTTCACAGTCTTCGCTGCTTTTGCGGCCTGCAAAATTAATATACGTAGTCATCCTAACTAATAACATAAATACGAAAATATGTTTGTCTGTTAAATTAAAAATAGATTGCATCACGCCGGTGGACAGACGCTATATATTAATCACAAAAAAATGGCAACTGATAGAAAAAATACTTTAGTAAATATATCTTTTTTGTAAATACTATACATGGAAAACGCTGAATAAAATACTCATAAATACAAATGTATGTATCGGGCGAGGAATGAAGCTCGCGACCATCAAAAGTAAGGAATAAGTTCATATATTTACATTATTATCATTGTATGTATGATAAATATTACTTCTATTTCTTGAACAAAACTACATATATTACATATCTATAGGAAAATTACTTAACAATAAGACAGTACCTGTTTCTTAACTCCATAATGCGTCAAAACATCAATTAAGGCGACAAAATATATTTCTTTTTTGAACGCACCTAAAATTAAAATAAATTATTAAAATATTTCTTATATCCAAGGAAAAATGATTAGCTGGAGAAATGCCGTGTAAATTGAAATGTAGAATTATCAACAATAAGATACAAGTTAATCCTAGTGTTTGGGGGGAAAGGGGATTGTTAGTAAGGTGACCTGATGATATTGCCAACAATGTACCTTGTCAGACTGACCTCCATGGGGTTCCCCTGGTAACCATCATAATAAATTATTGGTCAATTTGTCACAATGAGCTAATTCACCTGACCTCAAGCTCATCTTATCATCCTCCACTGGTGCTCCACGAGCGTAAAAAAATCCTAGCGTTTAATCAATTTTAAAATTAAGGAACATGGTTTATGTTTTTAAGGTTTTCTATAACCATAATGTTCCATTCTTAAATTACGTTCTAAAGTCGAAAATATCACAGAAAATTAAACCATTGACGAATTTCCGAAACACAACAAAACGAAATTCCAATTTCAATTATTGGTTCACTAATGTATTACAAAATACGTGACGTCACATTAGGAGGGGGGAGAGGTAAAAAATAATTAAATTCGTCTGATAATAGATAAAAATGGAGATTAGTGTCCTTATGTGTCATGTCATGAAACCATAGTTTTTGATTCCAAATGAATTCATCTGATCGGCTAACTGACCTGAGTACATGTTTATTATATCTACATGTTATACCAACCTACCACACTGGCATATACCTTAGCACATCCAAGTGTAGTATTCCATCATCCACCATACAAAATAATCACTCGATAAAGCACTCACCGTCCTGGCTAGGGATGGCGTATATATCCAGTTCTGGGATGATGCCCTGATACCGCAGCGAGGACTGCCGCGCGAACCCACGAGGGCTGTCCGGTGGCGTATTGTAGCCCAATCTGTAGGAAACGATTACATTAGAAACAACCTGACCGACCAACCCAAGCATAACCCGCAAGCTAAGTAAACAAGCCAATTTGCTTCCGGTCCAAATCTTCTAAAATGAGTAAGAAATTTGTGTTATGATTATGAAGCTTAGTGAAAGTCTGCTGCTGGGTTCAGAAACAGCACTCTCGCAAACATGTAAAAAAATCAATCATTTCCTCAAAGTTCGAAGTTCAAGTTCAAATCACTCCCGATTCAGTGTGTATGTTACCTGACGCCGTGGTGGCGGTTGTCGGTGTCGGAGTCGGACTCGGAGTCCCCGTTGTCGCTGTCCCGCTCGGCGTCCCGCGCCCGCGCCGCCTCGGCCTCCGCCTCGCCCCGCCCGCACTCGTGCACCCCCAGCAGCAATGAATAATCCATCAAGTGTAACTTCGTTAGGAACTGCCATTAACAATAATATTTATTTATTTCAGATTACATCCATATTGTGTTAGTAATAGACTTATAAACTATGTTAGTAAATTATAATATATAGAGATATGCTCGCAGTTCAAATAGCTATCTCCACGTACAGAAACACTTGGTCCGCAGCAGTGCAACGATATCCAGTGCCTCTGAGCGGACAATCTGATAAATTGCAATAGTTGATAGGAGGCTGTTTGTGCTCCCCCGATTTGAAAACATCAATGAGCATGCAGCTCTTTTGCGCATTATGACTTGAAACTCGTCTATCGGCGCTGCTACAAACATCTCTGATGCGCTACAGAACCAAGTATGGTTACACTCACAATTTTTACACACTACTAAAATTCTTATGTTAATGTATTATTTCAGTAGATACGAGCTACCCGCCCAGCTACGCAAGAAACTTTTCTCTTGAATCATTCAATCTATTGCTAAAAACTGCAATAAAATGCGTTGCGTGGTTTAAAAGATCTAAGCGAAGAGACAGCGGAAGCGAGTTCATTTTATAATTAAAATACCAATGCCCGCTTTTTACCAACTAAGTCACATAAGGTTAGCTGGAAGAGATCTCTTTCAGAGATATGTTATAAATCTTACGTAATGAAAACATATATATAAATAATGTATAAAAATGTTTTGATTGGATGGTGTTTACCTCAACATCAGCCGTAAGTGTTTCGAGGAGTTTCTCTTTAGCAGCGTCACCGATGTCGATGCGGACGCCCTGTTTGATGAAGTCGTTGTCCTTAAGCGTGGGTAGTTCTTTCTCTAGTTCCTTCTCTGACGCTTCACGGTCCACCGTTGAACCTTTCAGGTCGTATTTCCTATAATAGAAATGTAGATACATAAATAGTAATTTCCTTTTTTCATGCAATCTTTACTCTCACTTACTGCATATTTCATGTCGCATCTTTTAATCCTTATATACATATGTTAAATTATTCAAAATACATATTTATCTACAAATTATGTTACTTGTATTATGTTAGAGTTATTTACATACACATTATAGCTATGCTACAGTGATAGTGTATTTGTAGCTTTTCGTGAAGGCTGTATTTCCCCGCGAGGGTGGTGGTGGCCCGATAATAAAATCAAGCCTTTCGTTGCAAAATTTCTTATTTAATTTGGCATTTAGAATTTATTAAAATTAAATTTTAATTAAAACTACGGAAAGTATGTGTTACATAAAGGGTGAACGGAGAGAGTTACCATATATAGTTTCATTACTGCTAAATTTAATACAAATATAGTGTCACCAACACACTTTATGGCGTACACACATATCTTTATGGGGTTTCATAACCAATTACCCATATTAGCCGAGCGTGAATCAACGTTATTATTAACATTAAAACAATTCCTTTCATCATCACTTTAAAGTAATAATAAAAGAAATTTTCTCACAATACAGCATGTATTTAGGACACATTGTAGTCCTTTCTATGTAAGGGCATTTGCAACATATCCAGATGCTGAGATATTATGATATGTTCTCAGTAGATAATTTATTATTATTATACATACCTATGTATGTTGAGGTGATCAGAAAAAACATTCCTAGTGGCGACGAGATAGTGCTCGATGCCGTCCACGGTCAGTCGATACATGCCTAGGTACTGCGGCAGTAGGGTCTTCCCATGCCGCTCTACTATGTACTGTAATATCAATGCATTAAGATACAAATCTGTCTTGCAATAAGATCTGTCTACACATACGCCAACAAGTTACTATGTTTTAACTGAAACCCATGTTAGTAATATTTATAAAAAAAATATCACAAATTGATGGTATCATGATAAAATAACTACCTTTAAAGATTTTATATTAGCGATTTATATGTAAAAATATATAATCAATCTAAGAAAGATATTTCTATTGAAATTTTAATATTTGATTGACAATAATTATTAAATTTAATATTAATATTGGTCTCCGTATATATATTTATTCAAAATAAATAAATAAAGTTGTACTCACTAATTTATGACGTCTCCATATTACTATTCTCTTATATTAAATTCATTATTATTATAAGTTGGTACTTTATTACGTATTTATTACGTCCTTTAATTATTGACTTTCATAGCGTTCATATTAAACTAATTTGACCATTTCATTTATATTTAATGAAGTCATTATAGGTAAAATACAATCTTAACTATAAATAAATATTATAAAACAATAAAAAATATAATATGCTCTAACATTTTATTGACGGCCTTGATGGTTTAGCTGTTTAAAAGACCGTATAATTTCCTATTTTCAGGGGTTCGATTCTCTTCAAGACACGAACTTTTATACTTTTAATATGATGTTGTTTCTGTAAGTCTGATACAGGAATGTTAGGGAGCTCCGTAACCGTAACCGTAACCGAATCCGAAATAAAAGTAACGGATAATATCGGATAGGGGCGGAGCCTAATTGAGACACGTTATGTAACCATTTTATTAGCTATTTGTATTTTGCTTTTGAAATTCCTTAAAAATTAATATCCGTAGCCGAAATTATCCGAAACTAACGGATAATCCGAAATAATTTCGTATCATGCGGATACGAAATTATCGTACCGTAACCGTATCCGGTATAAAAATCAGTCCTATATCCGAAGCCTATCCGTATCCGAAATTTTATATCCATAACATACCTGGTCTGATTGGTTTATATATAAATTTATAAAAATAAATAAGAAATGAAGTAATGAGAGTAACAAATATAAAAGCTACTATAATTATTTACTTTTGTCAACCTTGCTATTTAACAGTTTGTATTTACACAACATCAATAATATGTAAGGCTGTACAACATTTATTTAAAAGAGCAACATGCAAATTTCTTCTCGAGTCTGCTTTCTGTATGAGCAGTAGAATCAAAAACTATTATATGACTATTCAAAAGTGCTTATATTAAGTTTATTTGAGTATAGATTATTTCTATTTCTTGGAATTCTATTGTTTGTCACCAAATTCATGCCTAGTAATAGCATACTGACATTATCAGTTCAGATATAACATTATAATATTGTATCATATACCTTTTCACTTTTAAAGATTAGATAATTTTAGAGACGCTACCGAAGCGAACTACTTATTGATGCTAATACGGTTTTTTTTAATTTCCGACTATCATATAGTGAAGTAAAAAACCCGTGAATAATTCAGCTGGTACATTCGCTAAGTCATGTATGCAATTAGTACTAAATTATCAGTTATGACATGACCGCGACTGCTGATAGTACTTAGTAGTTGTTAAATATCATTTTGTAAATTGTTTTACAAAATATTTAACACTAGCTGAGCCCGCGATTTCATACTTCTATAATATTTTTATTTCTAAACTTATTTTCATTACCATAACTAACACTTAAAACGCTTAAACGCTTCGTAATATATTAGTAAAAAAACGCAATTTAGCTGTTTATGAGATTGACGGGTACAAGCGCACTGACAAACAGACAAATATTCTAACAATCTTTGCGTAGAGTTTTTATATATTGATAAGGATTATTAAATTACTAGTTAACCCACGCAACTCCGTCTGAATCATATTTACTTGATATTCATCATTATATTTCGCCCAATATATATAATATCTATTTAAATTACAGCCTTTGTATTATTGTTCTGTATTTTAAAATTAAAGTTCATTTTTAGACTATATTATCCTACATACCCTACCCTTAAATCGTTTCTCCCAAGAATCTAATCTAAACAAAGAGATCTAATTTCATTGTCATCCTTCACTGAAATATTAACTTACCGGATGATACTGTTTGAGGAAGGAGTGCATCCTCTCCACCTCTTCAGAGGTCAAGGTCTTCAATATATACAGCCGGTCATAACTCTGATAGAACTTGGCGCCGGATTTACCTGACGAGTCGTCAGGCGTGGGTTGAGATCTGCAAAAAAAATAAAACAATATGGCGGCCATCAAGATAAAATTTATTGAACGTAGGAAATAAAAACTTTAAATTTTTTATCAAGCTTAGAGGAGATCTTCAAATGAAGTCTTATATTAAGGTTTTGAAAAACTTTTTAATATATTTTATAATAGCGATAAGACCGCCTTTTTATTGTTCTTTGTTTGTGTGTAATAAAGAATTATTATTATTTTCAACCATTTTCCTATAACGCTATGAAATTTTACAAGGTAATTCTATATCCTATTAAACATACTACAATAGTCAAACTATATTCAACATCTGCTTCTTCCTTATTTGGGATCAGCGTAATATGTTGTTCTCTTCCATTCATCCCTGTTCGCAGTCATCTCGTTATTTACTCTCTTTCTTACCATATGCTTTTTCACACAGTCCATGCACAGTGAAAAGTCAAACTACATTATTAAGAAAAAAAATATTTTCAATATATTTATAAGATATACTTGTACTTGATAAAAAATTATTTAATAAACAGCATATTACTTCATAATATATTAATATAATAATTATAATTTACTACATTGCGTTTTACCTTAGTCCTTAAGGGCTCATCTGTCTTATCAACTTATATTTAATAACTTCAGAATTTAGAAGTAAATAAAAAAAAATCGAACTAGCAACAGATCGATTTTATTTTATAATATTTCTTTAATTCAAACTAGTTTCCTATACAGCACACATAGCATACATTTACAGTAATCCTCGATATCTGGTGCAGATATAAATAACCCTACAAACGAAGCTATCGCAAGTCTGTTCATTAACGAACACTGACTATTTATAGACTAATTCAGGATGATTAAACTCAAGTCATCGTTACAATTACTCGTGTCTAATACAATCATCGTTCTTAACAAATGCATTTATTAATATTTACGTTCGTTAACTAAGGTCAAGCTCCGACCACACAGAAGTGGATTTATAATTTTCGCTTCCAATTCTAGAAACTTCACTTCGAATTCTATGAAAACATATTTCTATGTGTGGGGGCTTCCCCAGCACCAATAGTAGTTGACTATTGGTGGTGATGACTAGCCTACTAGTATTGTACCATGTCAGGTTGACCTCCACGCAGTCTCCCTCTGGAAACCATCGTCTTAACGACGTTCCTGTTAAATTCGCTACCTGATCTAACTTCATCCTTATTCTATCCTCTTTCATATATGTTATATGTGTATATGTATATGTGATATATGTTATACCACAACATACAGCCTCCAACATATACCGTTAAATCATACAAAGGCACGATTAAATATTCGTCCATTGTAAAAAATGCATATGAACTTTCATCATACATTCCGCGCATCCCGCACTCCAATTTCCCTAGTGCCTCTCCATGTCTCAGTTTTAACACTTAGCCTGGTTTCACACAGGTGCAATTATTGTTGACATGAAAGATGTCACCTTTTTAAAAATAAAATATAATCCTTGTTACTTGTTTATAGTGGTCTTTTTTGATATTGACATTTAAGTATTTTTTTAAGAAATAGAAATAATCTTTATTCAAATTCAAATTCAATTCAAATCATTACAAGCACTTTTGAATAGTCATATTTAGATTCAACCACTCATTCGGAATGCAGATTCATCACAAGAAGAACGAGCAAGAAACTTGTGTGTTGCTCTTTTTAATAGATACCTAATAGGTAGAAGAATTACAGAATCAGTCGAGTATTTTTAATCAGCTGCCGAAAGATGTTATAAGTTTGATGTGTCTGTACATCTTTGTGTCTGTCTGTGGCATCATAGCTGCTCTACTGATATTTTTTTAAGCTGAAGTAATGAAGATGGTCTTTACTTGTTCTTTTAACTTTATAATTATCTGAGTATATACATTATAACAACATAAAATCCTTACTCTTCGTAATATTATTAATATTAGTTTCGATATCAATATACGAATATACATATCGCTAATGTATGCTATTTAGTAGGAATGTTTTAGGAGGTGCTAAATCAAATATCTCCTTTTCTGATGATATTTTTATGACACAAACGAATTATTTGAATGTTATAATACGATGAATAAGAACGAAATAAATGACATGTTTTACCAGTATAATATAATAAATTTTCTTTTGTTTACCTACTAGTTTCCACAGGATATGTGTACAAGTGACATACCGTTAAATTATCCAACATTGTTATTAATACAAATATAGACAAAATATTAAACAACAAATTACTAATCTACATAGAAAAAAATATAATTATAGTACGTACTTACCTGAAAAAGTTCGGTGTTTTGTGCATAAAGTGCACAACATGAGATGCGATGTGCGCAGTGTTAGGGTTAGTGTTTAATAAAAAAAAAAGTAATAAGGGACATCATTAGGTACACAGTGTGTAATAAAGGACTAGTGTGAATAGGGTTAAGGAACACAAATAGGAGATCAAGGCCGACTAATCACAAACCGAGGTGCACACTTGCCCATATATTTATACTTATTTTGATACACCATACGTCATTCAAAAAATATATCACCTAAATTTAACAACGCCAAAACAATAATAAAAAAACAAGGATTTGAAAAAAGAACCGAAAAAAATGGAATTGGAACACATTGTTTAAAAAACATAAGGATCACTTTTCACACAAAACCAGGCTTTAATAACCTATAATAGGATATAATTCACATCGTTTCTCTTTTACTATCACCAAATCACATCCTATAGAGTGATTACCTCTCAAGCGGTTAGACGAGGGAATGACGGCGAGATCCAATAATACAGCCAGTGAAATTGTGGGAATGATGAATGCCGTGTCAGTCAAAGGCACACTACATACTGTTATTCGAAAAAAAACTTAAAAAATCGTACGGCTGCGTAGAAAAACTCCGCTGACCTCAGGCGTTTTATAGTCAGTCCGCGCTTGACGAATTCACTCGCGTCATGGAATATGCTGTCTTGCTGGATTTCATTTTTCAGATCACCAACACCAGTGGGCGCTGTGGCTGACCGTCGTAGCTTACTGCAAAGCCTCTTCTGTACCCTCGAGCAGAGGTAGTTATCTGGCTTTCTAAACCTAAGGACCAGGATAGGAGGTAGGAGCAAGGATGCCAGTCCAATATTATGTGGGGATAAAAATAAATGTAAATAAATACATAATTATAGATAATGAGAAAGAAATAATGACGTATTCGTTAGCGGTCACACGTGTCGATAAATCGGTATAGCCTACGATACGTTATTGGTATTTTTAAGGTTACCTTGTAAGTGATTCTTTGTAGTCGATGTCATCTATACCGAACCTCTCTCGCAGATTCCTGAACACCAATGGGCAATATTCCTTCACCTTGAAATGAGATGGCATGTTTTCTCTGAAACAATAATTAAATTATAACTACATATAAAGAGACACAGGTTCCACGGCTCAATAGCAGCGAGGTCATTCATAAATCAAGTGACATGAATTTAATAATTTTATGACCAACCCTAGTCCTCGTCACGGCTGGTTTTATTTGTGACGCCAACATTTAAAAATCTATATCGAAACGCTTGATTTTGTCTACTAAAACAACTTTTCAAAAGTTATTTTTATTAAACCGTATTTCAATCTTTACAGAGTATAAAAGAAAGTCTCCGCCGCTATCTGTTCGCTTATATCTTTTAAAATACAGATTACAACCAGATTTTAGGGCAGTTTAGTTTTGTAGAAAGAATTATTCAAGAAGAATGTTTATATGTAGGCATGCTTGTTACGGTATATAACAAGCTGAGAAGTTCAATTTGTAATGCATCTGCGCGATCCCGTAACAGGTCGATAGTTGAGAATAAAACTGATTAAAAGCAGCAATTTAAATTCAATAAATATGGGAATTAAAAAAATTAAATATGTAAATAACTATTTTAATGAATAAAGGATATACCTTTTAATTTAGGCGTTTCGATATATATTCTTAAATGTCACGTTAAGAAATTTATATCAATACAAATCAAAATATCTTTCTTCGTGTAGTTCTATTACATACTCTTATGATATGTTAAATCTACCGTCACCGACAAGAAACTCAGCTCTTATTATTTTCTTAGCTTCTACATGTTTACAAAAATACAGATTCATTTTTAAATTAAAATTTGGGAGAATATAGTGACCATCAGCACATGCTATTGCAATTTTGTCAAAAGGAAATAGTCTAAATAGTGACCGTAACGTAACCCTAACAAGGCAGCCCCCGCAAGCATAATTTATTTATTTGTCGACCCTTTCTTTATCATGTATGTCACACACTTTGCCGGCTCTCTACCCTCTCCTTATGATGTGACATAATTCTGAATTTGTTTACTTATATTGTATTCACATATCTATCGATTCATGTTTATTAAATAAAATTGACTGAGGTGAAAGATCAATCGTGATTAAAAAATAGAATTTTAATCACATAATACACTTGTTTACCCTGTGGCAGATAAAAGTAAATACGCAGGTAATTATGAATAATGAATTTGCAAATGTAATACATATGTACAGAGATTAGATATCAAAACAGGAATCAACAAATTAGACACCGTAATGTGTAAGTAATCTTTACTATTTATAGGCACTAATATTATCAAGAGACAGCGGGATTTGTTATGATGATAATTAAACTCAGAACAATTGCACCTACTTGAGAAATTCTTTCAGTTTTTAAAAGAATATTACTTCAGTGACATATATCATTATTAATATTATAAACGCGAAAGTTTATGAGTTTGGATCTGTCTGTCTCTTTCACGCAAAAACTACGGAACGTATTTGGATGAAACTTTACAGTAATATAGCTTATACATCAGAATAACATATAGGCTATAAATTATACGCGGATGAAACCACGGGCACAGTGTGATATATATATATATATATATATCCTTGACATATATATATATATATATATATCCTTGACATATATATATATATATATCTCACACTGTGCCCGTATCAAAACCGCCCTACTTCCGACGGTAGCAGGTTCGGTTCCTTGAAGAGTAGAAACTTTTGTATTCATGAGTATGAATATTCATTTATATTTGTGTTGGATGTTACTAAGTATATAATGTTAGTAATGTAACTAAGTAAAAGAGTTTTAAAAAAATGCTTTTAATTATTTATATTGATTGTTTAAACCCATAACAGAAGTTTTGCTTAGCTAGATACAAAGGTTCTTTGTTCTTCTTTGTCCTCTGAAATGGCACCACATGAGGGGTAATATGAGTCACATGGTTGTGTAATGTTAAGGGTAATTTCTATGTATTGAGATAATCGGTGTCACTGGGGGGTAGAGGATTATTAGTAGTATACAGGACAACAAATGTAGAGAGATTTCGGGCGGCTGGCTATCACAACAATTCATATTTTTTAAATATTTATATTTCTATACAAATATTGTCATTTCGTTGCTATGGTTGTTTTATTCCATTATTGCTCTATATTTCTGATACCATACTAGTTTTGTTAAGATATATATTTTATAATATACTATTATACATTCATATTGCACCTTTAATTACTACCATTGTTGGCTGCACTGATCCAGCGTCCTACACACAGTCCCAAACAAGTAGTATGGACTGTTGACTTCATTGCCAGCAACTAGCAATGTATCAGGTTGTGTTGACCTCCATGCAGTTCCCTTTAGAAACCATTGTGATAATGACATGTGATTCCTGGTGAATTTGTCATAATGGGCTATCTGACCTGACCTCATGCTCATCTTATCATTGTCCACTGTAGACCCTCCAGCAAAAACCTTTAGCTCAGGTGGGTGCATCATTCCGTTACAGTATACAGAATAGAAATAGAATACAGAAACTATAGTAATATAAAAAGCTCATGAATCTCACTTGTTAAATAGATGATTATCCACTTTAAGCTTAGAATAAGCTCTGAAGTCGTCTGGCAATAACATAACAGGAATGGAGACATGACTTAGTTCATTTATCTGAAAATAAAAATGATTTTGATGATGATGAAACTTTATAGAGATATAACTATAGGTTATACATCAGAATAACATATCGGCTATAAATTTCATACGGATAAAACCGCAGGCAGCTAGTATTACATATAACTATAGAAACAAACATATCACATAAAAAAATAGACTACCACTAACAAAGTAATTTTGAAACTTAACATGAAAGGATGACACTACAATTATATTTAAATAGAGCTCTTAAAACTAACTCCTAGGGGAACAGAAAAATAAATATCAAGTGAAATATTTTAAATCAGCTCTGCTGTTTGTCTGTCATTTCTAAAACTACCTACCCACCCCAGCTTCACATGGCTGTACTATTGGTAAAAACTGCATAAGAATATATTGCATGGTTTAAAAAAATCTAAGCCAACAGACAGGATAAGGTAATTAATTTTATACTATGTAAAGATAAAGTAATTTACATTATAGTCTATAAATTTCAGTTTATTATTTTGTCTACATATTAATTAAATAATATATAAAAATAGAATATTTATGAGTATAGAAATAATTTATATTCTTTATTGCACTTATATATATAACAACATAGTATTAAAATATGTGAGCAAAGGTAAGCAAATAATTCATGTATGCTGAAATTATATATGCAGCATCTGAACAAAGAGAACATTAACATAGCAAATTAAACTTTGGAAATTTGTAAACAAAACCTAAAGTTCACCTCTATAGGCATGTAATATAATGAATGTGAATATGGTAACGCAAATATATACATATATATATCACGTAATAATATAATATTTTCTATATTTCTTTTTTGTAAGATTTTTTTCCAATAATCTAAACCATTTTTGAACTAATACATTGCCAAAAAAACATGTTAATTAATCATATGCCAGGATATTTTTTACTGCACATGTTACACCAATCATCATTATTAGATCAGTAAATAGTGCAAAACCACAACAATGCAGTAAGGAAGGAAAATGACCAAATAGTGTGCAAAGTACTTAATAGCGAAAATCCAAATGGCACTACTGCAACCGACTTAGTTAATGTAATTAATACCATATCTAGCGTAATTACCGTATGATTTACACCCCACATAAACACAGAGAGTAATGGTTCATTTGCACGAAATAATTTCACTTTTTGATGTTTTACACGGATGTGTTTCTTCTTCAATTTGCTCAGACCAGTGCTAGGAACGGACATTTTGGATTTGTTTACAACTTATTTTATTATACTGTTTACAACCACTCCAGGTAATTTACAATACAGAATCGTGATTAAACCATTTTCAACAATTAAAAAGTATAGCGTACTACAATTAAAGACGTTCAAATTAGAATTTTCACAGAAATTCGACACCCAACAAACAGAAGAAACGGTTTTTTGACAGTTCATTTAGGTGCAGTGTTGCCATTTTAGTGTCAAGTGTTCGGGCTAGGCCGAATTCGAAAAACATTAATTGATTCAAATTTGGTATATCTGCTATTTATAATTAATCCGCAAGAAATACCTAGACTAGTAAAAAACCATTAGATTATAGGATTAATTATTTTACCATTAGACCTTCGTAGTAAATTAATTCGAAATTTGCTAAAATATTTTATATGTGCGTGGTGATGTGATAAAATCACAATGTACATAAACTTGCTAGTTAAATTCCAAAATATAAATTAAATTAAAAAATATTAATTACAAAATTTGGGCTATTTTATTGATGTAGTGTAACAGTAAGAAGAGGACAGAAGTGCTTAATTTGATCTCTCATATACGAATTCTTTGCCTTTGTTAGATTAATTTTTGTTGATAAATCTGACACCTCTCAAAAATTCATGACTATCATTTAGAATAATTTCAGTTTTATTTATGTAATTGTATTTAAACGTACGTGAAATTAAAACAATCACTGAAATGTGCAAACTGAAAAACATTCAATAAATCAATCATTCTCAATTTTAAATTATTTATGTACTAAAATTTACTACCGTCAATCAGTCAGTCAGATACACGCAAGTCATTCATAGTATTTAAATTAATTTAATTTCATAATTATATTTCACTTGTTTGACTTTGCCTTGGAATGTATAGTTTGTTTTATAATCTATACATATATATTATCTCTTTTTCTGGTTTTAAATAAATGAAAGTAAATTTTCTTTATTTTTTCTAAAATGGTTATCCCAAGTCCTTTCGTCTATTGGGCTCAAACAGAAGACACTATCACATTAAAAATAGACTTGAAAAATGTCGTGGACCCCGACTTGAAAATTCTAGAAAATAATATAAAATTCACAGCACAGGGTATTGGAGCACATGGACTCAGCCAGTATGAATTTACACTTAATTTGTACTCCTCTATAAAGTCCGTAAGTATTTATTTACCTATTGTATCTCATAGCACTGGGCCGGTAAATATACCCTGTATTTTTTTGTGGATGATAATAAAATTTTGACCGTCCTTCCGCTAAGCGTGTTGACGAACAACGTGATTGGAATTTGTTAATTATGTTGAATAATAACTAATTGACAATCCCTAACAGTAAAAACTGGGGTGCATGGGGGTAATGGAACTGTTAATAATGAAGCCTCCATTACAAGTTCTCCATTACATTCTCCCCAACCGAGTGACCCTGTTCCTAATCATATCAGATCTACCTCTACATGGTCCCTCCTGGAAACCATAGTTAGTATGCCACAATGGGCTAATTGACCATACTGTGAGCCACCAGAGTATACTGTTTGTGCAGGTGGTTTCACTATGATATTATTAGCTGTTATAAAAATATATCTGAAATATATATTGAAGACCTATAGACTAATATAAACAGTTATACTGTGTATTGTAACTTAAAATGATTGACTCATGCCTGAGGCAACATGTTAAACTATTAATTTAATAAATAAAAAGTAAATAAATACACAATAAAAATTATTATAATTAAAAATATGTAAAATTGTAATAAAGATATAAAGATTGCACTCTGTTGTAATAATATAACATGTAGAAGAGAATAATATTTATTTCATTAATTTATGTATAGTTCAAAACAATATATGTTATCTTAAATATATGTTGAAAATGACATGTAGGTAACATGTCATTTTTAACTCGTAGAAATGAAGATGCTGCATAAATAATTTGTTGTATGCAAATTGAGTAGATTCATGTATTATTAATGAGCTTAAAAAATACAACTCTTTTATTTGTATTAACACTCTTTTTCCTTTGTATGTGTATCTGTTTTCATTTATGATAATGGAATGTACTTGTCTGTGTTAATGGTATATGCTGGTGGGGCACTAGTGGAGGCTGATAACATGTCAGGTCAGGTCATTTATCACATTGTGGTAAATTCACCAGGAATTTAACACCATGGTTTCCAGGGGAACCATGTGGAGGTCAACCTGACAAGGTACAATGCAAGCAATGGGGTTATTAATCCACATTACTAACAATTCTCTTCCAAATACACAACTGTAGTGGGCAAGTAAAGTTTCAAAATATCTATATGTAGGTTTATTTTGGTCTTTCATTCATATATCCACTAATAGAATAAGAATAGAATAATTTTTATTTCAGAAAACTTAACTAAAGCACTGTTTGTCTATGACCCCACTAGGTCATGTCTATAATGTATTATAGAACTCAAAGCAAGTGAACTTAATATTAGAACTGGGATCAAAGGAGATGATAACAAAATTGCATTATATAATAGTAATAATAATGTATATAACAAATAAAAACTATTCATTTGTTTGTGTTTGTTAGTGTGTGAGTGTGTAAGAGAGAGAATAGTGTTTGAACTATATTACTATAGTGTGATTATTGCAATGTCTCAGAACTGTCCATTTTGTCATTTATTATACTACAGCCTTTATACTAGTTTATTACTCTCTGTCTCCTTATATGTGTAGGTCATCAGTAAACTGTAAGAGTGTTTTTAAAGTTGATAACTTAATAATAATAACCTATACAGGTAACTTCTGATATTGGAATTCTGAGATTTAACAAACACTAAATGTTTCAATTAACTTAATTATTAAATAAAATATCCAGTTAATTATTTTATTTATTCATACAGTTTATTACACCAGATACAGAAACATATTAAATAATAGAAATAACAATTATATACAGGTTTTGAAGCATGTGGACTTGGATTATGTATATTTTTGTATTAATTAACATAATTATAGGTTGAATTATCATACAATAGTTTCAGACTCAAGAAATCCCCTAAGTAATTCATGTTTAGTTTATAGGCGTTATCAACTGAATTAAAACATATACTGCAGGCTGTCAGTCTACTGCATAGTGTGGTGACTACTTACATATGCTGTGACTCTATCCATATACTTTTTACTAAAGTAAACTTTGTACAATGTCACGTCCAGGAGCACTGTGTCACCTATTTCTGCTGCCAAGCAGCATGGTGAGGCATAAGACAGGGAAAGTACAGTCTATAGTAGCATGGGTGCTTAGTTCTCCAGAGTGGCAAAGCTTCATGTGCATTCAAAGATCCACGTGTAATTAGCCACAAGATACATAAAAAAAATATGCTACCTGTAAATATTTGCGTTGTGCAAACACCCTAAATGATGGACAATAATTTAATTGTAATTAGTATAGATAAGCGACTTATCTAACCTAATGTTATAAAGAGGAATGATTTGATTTTTTTAATGTAATTGATAGATTAAAAAATACTCTATACAATTAAAAAACAAAAAAATAGCGGTTAATTCGTGGTGAATTCGCCACGATGTGCAAACTGACCTTACTTCATGCTCATTCTATCATCCTCTACTGGTGCCCCGCCAGCATATACTGTTAGTCCAGTCCGATTATGGTACAGCAGGTATAATGATAAAAAAATATTATGTGCACAAAAGGCCGAAAAATCCTTTTTTCTGGTCAATAATAGTCACGTGAACGATGTCGTGGGCAGAAACTAGTCCAAGATAAAGTTATAGGTAAAAATCGGGTTATTGGTAGATATGATCGTATTTTCGTATCAGTTCAGACATTACCACTCGTATCAACAACAGGCAGTGTAATAGAGCAATACGAGTGATACTGTACGGACCGGAGTGACCAGACTTTGGACTGCGTTTACTATTATAAATATTCCGCGCCAGGTAATGTTAGCTATAATTTGGTGTTTAGTTCCTTAACTCGAATTTATTTTATCCATTTTATTGTAAATGCCTCTGAATTTATGTAACACTGTACTTATAGATTTCAGTAGATTGTGTCATTAACCTGACCTGAACTCTGTTTATAAAATATGAGCAGCTACCTCTGGAAATGGCCTTATTCTGTAGTTCCTTGAGCTATTTTTTTTTATATTTGTCCTCAGAATCTTCAGCTAGATGTCACATCATACCGATTGGAGATAATTACAATTTGTGTGGGATTTACTGGTCTTTTTTCATGTGAACTATTTGACTTTTTTTTTCTCTTAAACATTATATCTGAGGTCTACATATACGAGTATATCACTTTCGTCTGTTAGAGTACATATGTTGTTTTGTTAGACTTGGGTGCAACAGAATATGATCACGGCTAAGAATTTCAGTATGATCACGGCTAAGAATTTCAGATTACTTATTACTAGCTTTATATGGTGTGAATTTTTAATAATTGGGTTTTAGTTTGTTTCAAATTGAGTCATAATGTCCTTGCGACGCTAATTGCTCTCGCAATATAGCTAGAACACACGCAGCCTATTGGATGATGCGATCTTAGTTTATTGTTATAATAAAAATGAATAAATTGAACAAAATTATAATTTTACAGAATGGCGCCGATGATGAAATTACTGTTATGCGCGTGTTCGACAACCGAGTAGAGCTCGCACTAAAGAAGGAGAAAGCTTCGTGGTGGCCACGGCTCACTGCTCAACCCCAGAAACCAGCCTGGTTGAAGGTACAATTACATTGAATCAATCAATAATATAATCAAGAAAACTGTTACCAAAAATGTTTACATGAGAGTCGTTATTAATTACTTTTAATCTTATGAGGACAATCTTATAAAGTGTGTCTGATTTAAGCAACTTGCTTTATAAATACTGGTTTTGAGAACTAAGGTTTTTAATTTAAATGAATTAAATATTTATAGTCTGCAACTCAAACTGTAATAAATAATGTAGGTACTGTAAAAAGTATAATATTCCCGAGAATTTTTTTTAACTAAATTACACATTTTTCATTTTCATTAAAAAAATATATGCACAATGTTTTACTGGTCATTTAAAAATGGGAAAGTAGGTACACAATTCCATAAGTTATGTATAGTTATATTACACTAATAAATTATACTTATATATATTCCAGATAAATTTCGATTTGTGGAAATCAGAGGAGTTACAGGACAGCGACGAGGAGACGCGTGACGTGATGAGAGACTACCCCGGGATGTATGATAGACTACACAAAGAGGAGATGGGGTACAGGAAAGGTACGTTGACAACGTTCATATTTGATACATTTGGCGTTTTCTGATGATAAAAAAGTGGTCTCCGGGTGAAATTAGGCTTAAATAATACAAAGGGATATTGTTTTATCATGAAGCCTAGTAAACATCAGTTATGAGCATATATATCATAACTAAGAGTAGGTTAAGGAGCGGCGCCCTCGGCACATGTAAAAAAATAATGAACTCGGTAAATACTCGGTGAATATTCGGCAAATACTCAACTCGGTCCAAATTGCTATCGTAGTTAAACAACTTAATAGCGCAATCTACATTTTTTTACAGATCCATTTATTATTCCGTAGTTCGTAGTAGTGGTTACAACTTATCATCGAGTAACCGTTATTTAAATTATCTCCAATTAAATTGTAAACGTTAATTTAAATGGTTAGAATTTAAAAGCAGTAAAGTTAAATCTTGTTTAAAGAAAATGTTATCTTCATGATATATGCATGTCAATTTCTTTCAGAAGATTGGAGGAAAGTGTACCTCATCATATACAACCTGTTCCAACTGATTGGGTTCACATACGTACTGACAGTAATATCGGTCCGGTATTCGAAGCTCGGCTACGACTCGGTCACAGACACATATGAGCATGTTGGCTCAGCTATAAAGTTCCTCCACTTGATGCAGATATTAGAAATACTGCATCCGATCTTTGGATATGTCAAAGTAAGTGGTGTTTGTCAACATATTTTGTCTCTGGGTCATGTATATATGCGAAAGTTATCTATTTTCCATCAAACCGTCAGTTTTTTTTTAAATGTATTAAGTAGGTTAAGAAAATATGCTAAGTGTTAGAAAGAAAACATATGTGACCAACAAATTAAATTTTGAGGTGAATACTGAACTTCTGTATGAGTCATATATTTCACGCGCTTGCTTTGTAAGATGTGTTTGGTGAAGGTTGATATATGCCAGTAAAATTACAGCATATGGATGCATAACTTCTTAGAGCTGCTGAATGGCAATGAATAAGACATACCACATTGCCATGTGATACCCATTGTTATTATGCTATGTTTATGTGTAATAGTTGCCACTTACCGTTAGGTGAGCTGTCAACTTCTTAGGTAGATAAATGATACATAAAAAGAATGGCTATAATTTTTTCCAAATGTCATATTTGGAAAAAATTAATAAAAATAGTGAAAATTACTAAGTAATATGTCATTATGATTGAAACTAAGTTTAATTATTCTACTAATTTGTTACAGGGTAGTGCATTTATGACGTTTGTCCAAGTGATGGGCAGAAATTTTGTCATATTTGCAATGATTGAAGGAGAACCTCGCATACAAACAAAACCTGTTATATTTTACTTGTATATTGTTTGGAGTGCGGTAGAAGTTATCAGGTGATTATTATTATAATACGTTGTAAGCCATTATAGAAGTAAATAAAAAGATATGCAAATAAGTAATACTCCAAAAGTATCTGTACGGAGTCACCATTACTAGTACTTAATTTATTATTTACCTTCCAGATACCCATTCTACATTACTCAACTTTATAAAAAAGAGATCTACCTACTGACATGGCTTAGATACTCAATATGGTTGCCTTTGTATCCTCTTGGCGTTCTTTGCGAGTCCGTCATCATTGTGAGGAATATACCATACTTCGAGGAAACCCAGAGGTTCACAATAAGCTTACCAAATGAATGGAACTTTGCATTCCATTTACCAACATTCCTTAAATTATATGTCTTCTTAGTGGCCGTTCCTGGTTTATATTTTCTAATGAGTCATATGCAAAAGCAAAGAATGGTTAAGCTAAAACCGAAGATAATCATAAAGAAATCTAAATAGGGACAAATCGTTTAGTTAGAAAAAAATGAATGTAAGTAATATTACAAATCGTGGACTCCCACGCAGGTTATAGAAGTTTCTCTGGGCATGACGGATTAATAGTTAACTAAGAATTATGTACATATAAATAAACGTGTCTGCTTATAAATTTTCCCCACTAATATGTGAACGTTTTTGTACCTTGTAACACTGTATGCAGAGTATATTGGGGTAGTATAAAATTATTTAAAATTGATCGTGATTGATAATTGCCATTGAGTTGCCTAAATAAAATAAAGTGTGAAATTATAATAAAAAATCTACTCTCGCATTTATAATATAAGTAACAATATGCATAGATATGTCAAGGTAGCTGTTTTTTGTAATAGATTTTATACATTCTCTGCTATACTGTGCTTTAACTTTCCATAGAATGATTATGACTGCAGATTCATTTTTAAAACAAACCAGTGGTAGGTACTTTAATATAGCAATCATTTAGTTATATTATTAGTTGTATGATCCCATAATTAGATATTTAAAAATATAGTAGAGTTAGGTAAAGCTACTGAACAGTAATATAAAAGAAAATTTAGTAAATAATCATACCTTGACACCAAAAAATGGAGGATAAAAGTATGTAGTCTTAGTTCTATTTTGTTGTGGTTAATTTGCATATCAAATATATATTGTAAGAATTTATAGATAAATTAGTTTTATAGTAAAAAATCTTAATTTTAACTTTGACAAAATTAGATAGTAATCACCCATCCCTGACCTTAATTTAATTTTTTGTCCGCAATCAATATGTTTAATCGGATTGGTTGGCAGATGACAATACAGAGTGTCTGCAGTGCGTTAAGTGCGCGACTTCTTATTTAATCAGGCCGTTAGCCATAAATTTAGGAATAAAAAATATAACAATGAAAATCTGTCCACAATAGAATTTCTGAAAATGTAACAACATACAGATAGAAAATGCAATTCAATTGAGAATACGTTGACTAAAGTTATTCAGTGAAGGAATTTACACATTCTATAGCAGCGCTTTTTAAATTTTTGCAATGAAAACGTATTATGACACTGGGTGTCATCTATTTATTTTTGTTAAAGAAGAATTGCTACATGTAGCGCCATCTGTGTTCTTTTATTGGTTTCTGCATAATATATTCAATAGAAATATTGTTTATTTGTTGCTTATAATTTATTAATAAAATACATATAATTATTTGTTACCTAAATTGTTAGTTTTGAGAATTTTATGTTAGTGCGAATAATGCACCAAACAAGCTAATAAAATACATTTTGTATAAACATTCCCAATTTCAAGCATTTACTGGCAGCAGTAAAAATTAATGTAAATTAATAATAGATTTGTAAATGACATTACAGTTAATTTCAATTTGAAAGTTGATCATGAGACCATAAACATACTTCTGTATTATTTCAATAACGAAATTGTGATGTTACAAATTTGCGGCAAATGTTTTTTTTTTCTATTTTTATACAATATTAATTAGGAAGTATATAATAAAATGTTTTGTTAGAATAATATTGTTTTAATTTTAAAAAAACTAACATCCAGATATTATTACTTATTCATATAAAGAAAATATTGTGTCTTTTGTCATTGTCATTAAATAATTATGAATTATTCTGTTAGTCCTTGAATTCTGACAGCATGATTTATGGAAATTTAATAATTAAAAGCATTCCGACTGCATTTATTTATTTCACAGTTTACAATAAATATAAATATGTAAGGCAAAAATAAAGTTTGGTACAGCAAATAAATGCTACTGCAGTTGAAACTATCAATCCAGAGGTAAATTCTGCTAAACTAGAGATCCTTACAAATTCAACATACTATATAGCAATACAAACAAACATTATGTTTAAGAGAAGAATTTGATGTATGCCCTTTTGTACCATTCAACAGGATCACTATGAGCATAGTACTCATGGAAGATAGGCTCCACAAGTGCATCTGGGGGTACAAGGTTGTATACCCGCTCACCATAATAGGTGCCAACCTGAAATAAATTACTAGTAAATAGATGGTTTTTCTATGTTTCCAACCCAATCTATACATATAAATAAAATTGAAGTGTCTGTAATATTAAAATAACCGTTTTTTACATGCATGTGAGTATATATGGTATATACCAAAATAACATTTTTTATAATTTTTGTCTGTCTTGTTGTTCCGGCTAATCTCTGAAATGGCTGGATCGATTTTGATTTAGTACCTTAGGTTACTTTTATTTTAGAAAAATAAAGTTAAATTTCGAAGGCGAAGTTGCGGGAACAGCTAGTATAAAATAAATCTAATCTAATCCAAGAAATAATTTATTACTCATGAGGAATAGCACTGCTAGAGTGATTTTCTTGACTGTTACAATAGATAATATAAAAATATATATGTATTATCAATATTATTGTTTGAGCATAAAGTGTGCAGATGTTAAAACAGTCAACGAACGAAATAGAGTAAAAAAATTAATTATCGTCACATTGTTTTTCCTGTATACTATTTAGATGAAAAAATAATAAACTGGTTGAAAATGTGTCTTCAGAAAAGTAGACCTTTATCATTCACACTTGCTTACATTTTTGTCTGGTGAAGCCAAGATCCCAAGTATGGCAAACATTATATTTCATAAGAAAAAGTAAAAATAAGGCTAAGTATATATTTGAATAAAATAATGTAAACTAGAAATTACCTCCCATCCAGGTACATCGCGCATAAGCTCAGCCTCGGCGTCACGGTTGCGACGAAGCTGTTTTAGATACTCCCTGTCTCTCTCAGCAAGCAACATTGGGTATATTGCCATTTTAGCTGAGCGCATTTCAATTTGATCCTTTTTTACTTGTTTATAATTAATATTGTAAAGGTACAATCCACCAATTGTCATCCCAATGTAACCAGCAAACATAGCATAACCTGGAAAATAGGTATTAGCTGTATTAAATCAGTTATCTACCATGATAACAGAACAGACTACTTTCAGACAACTAAGAAGTGAGTTCGAGGAGTGGCATAAGTGTTGTTGTGTTTGTGTTAATCATTGATTTATTTTATAGCATTCAATTATTGCGGGACCTTAACACATGATAATAATTATTATATTAACTTAAAACTTAGATTTACGAATGGCAAAAGGCTTAAATAAGAAGAGTAGTATAACCTATAAGATTACATAATGGTAATGTTTACTATACCATTGAATTACTTACCACTAAAATATTGTCTAGCTGGTATTCGTTTATAAGGGATAGGCTTGTAGCCCCCCGGAGGGGGCAGGTCTTGTTTTCTGGCTATTTGACAAGCCTCAGCCATAATAATATTGTTTTTAATATAATTTGTTTAGTTATTCGTTTTTAAATAGACTGAACTTAACTGACACTTGATTGATAAAATCAGTTTGACATTTTGATTTGATTAATTTTGACGTTTGTTTGTAATGTATACATATTTACTTTTGTTTCATTGCCTCTTTGTGTAATAATTAACTACATGCTTATGACTCCATCTACGATATTTTATACTTTGCAATTGCCATAACTATTATTATTGTTAGATTACATTTCATTATCGTTATTCCCATGGCAACCATATTGATTAACAAAGTAATTTGTATGTTATCAATAACTACTTCGTAAACTACGTAATTTTATTATCTTGGTCTAATTCATTCATTTTCGTTATCTTCTTTTAAATATGAATGTAAATGAAGAAGCTCAGGCAGATATTACAGAGCCAATAGATGAAGAGTCAAAGTTAAAAATCAGGCCTCTTGAACGTATTAAACGCCACCCGAAAGTTCCAATAGAGCCCTCTGCTTATGGCAAAGGAAAGAATTACAGCAGGCCCTGGATTCTACAGGATGGACGCGAAGTACCTGGGCAAGGCAGCGAAATGCGCGATAATTACAGAGTACCTCTGAAAGCCCAACGCGGAGAAGGTTTTTTTTATTTAATATCAATTCTTTCCCCGACAGGGAATCCTATGTTCATTATTTCTTTTACTAATATTATATTTTTACACTTTGCATGCGTTTTTTAGGTATCCGTAAACGAATGCTTACGGATTTCTTTTGGGAACAAATGTTGGATGAAGTTATAGATGAATTAGCGACATCGCAACCGGTTATGGAGTATTGCACTGAGCACGATGCTAATTATATAAAAGAAAACTTTGAACCACGTAACCTAGAAATTACAGCAGATAAGAATGTAAGCTATAGCTGGTAACCCGAACATTTTATTAGAGATCTTTAATTTTATATATTCAGAAACACTTATGTAATCCGTCCGGCCCGAAGGACCACGTAGAATCTACAGTGCTTAGTGGTTTTTACATATAGAGCATTTAGACAATAAAACAAATAATATAGCTATTTGGTAAAAAGCGTGTATTGTAGAGACCTAATATTACAAGGGAATGTATAGCCCATTACGAATCTACTTTTTTGTATATGAATTACAATACTATAATGAAAGAAATACTACTGTATTGCAACTTTTCCCTATCAATAGGTAAGTAAAGGATCTAAAATAGCGCTCACGAGCTAGTTTGATATTTGTAGGTTTCTTTCCTATGACTCCTATAATTATTGACTAATCGTTAAATTTAAATAAGAAACCATATAATGTTTGATTACAGATGCACTTAAAATATCCTCTGTATGGTACTGGATCGAGTGCTATTACTTTCTACAGTGAAACAATAAAGAAAACTGGACCAGTATGTACTTTTAATTTTATTTTTTTACAATAAAGGCATACAAACATATTCAAAATAAGTGGCAACTGCGACAGGTAGGTATCATGTCTTGCCATTCCGGAGGACAAAAATGTCATGCCTCAGTTATCCTGTGAAGTCCACATCCACTTCTCCCTTAGACCGGAATAGCAAGTTACTGGGTTGCAGAAATAGGTGAGACAAAGGATGCACGCAAACGACTCTTTACAAAGTCTATCTTGGTCACCAAAATTTCTTCAGGAATAAATAACCCTTCTCTTCTCTGATACTTATATTACGTGTATAGTTAGATATTTATAGTATACTAATAAAATACTTTTATTTGATACATATAAAGTACACAAATAAAAAAATACTTTTTATATATTTACTATCAGATGAATTTTAATAATTTCTATTATAGGGTGAAATATTGGAAAAATTCCGACGATGTCAATACTTCACGAAGCCAATGGAAGAAAGACTGGATGATGGTTGGGTTTTATAATTTTTTATCATATATTTTATTAAATTTACGAGAATAAACATTGGCACATTATTTGTTTTATTTAATTAACAAAAAAACAATTATATAACTCATATTACAATATGTACGGGCTGGCTTAGACCCACCCGTAACGGGAGTTAGTATGAATTTTGAATTTTTCTTTTTCAGAAAAATTCAGGGGGTGAGAGCAAAAGGAACTACATAGCACTTAAGAAGCTTGATGTCCAATTCCTCCCTGAAGTCGTGTTGGACCTTTATATGTTCATTATCATTGCCTGTGATATAAATGTTTGCCTAGAAGTAATATTATTCTGTCATAAAAACATAATAAAGAAATACATGTTTAAAAAATGTATACGATATAGCGAACATTTGACAGGACAAGAAAAATGAACAATAAACAACGTTATACAGAATCAGCCAATCATATATGTATTATAGGTATTGAAATGTATTAACGTAATTTTGACTAGTGAATATTATGATAATGGATAATGTCATTTCATTTGTAAAATTCAATAAAATATTTTAAAAGTGAACATAAGCGTACCAATTTGCCAATTTTAATTTAAGGGTAAACTTTTCGTTTACCCTCTTTATTTGGTTTAAGTCATGTTTTAACATTTTTATGTATGCTGTGGTTTAGTGGTTATCTCTAGGGTATGTAGTATTATATTACATACATAAGAATTGACCTTTGGCCTCATCTTGTTCTAATATGAAGAAGTTTAAACGTAGACTAGGCTGTACGGTCTAAGGATCTTTGCCTGTTCCATCACTGAAAAGGAGATGGACGAATATGGGAAAAAAAATATTTATTTATTTATTTATAAACATCTGTGTCAAGAGTCTAAATTGAGGTGATGTCAAAAAGTAAAGAAAGTATACATCACCTATGTTCAAATTAACTTGAGTCCAGAGCCGTAAAACGTAATAAACAAAAAAAACCAGACGTGATGTGAGTCAAAGAAAAAAATAAAAAACCAGCTTATGATTAGTTTTAGTGTCAATTTGTTTTGTATTTTCGCAATTTTTCTCATTAATGTTCAGCTTAACATAGTTTATTAAAAACGAAATTAGATAACGTGAATACTTTCACGTTTATGGGAACAGCTGTAATCTTCAAAAGTAAGTATTCTTCGAGTACTTTAATATTGTACACTTGAAGTTGAACTTTTGCATTTACATACTTTCACTACCATTTAATTAATTTATTCTATTATTTTTAATATCAATTCATCCCTTTTCCTACATTGATGATCTGGAATATTAATTTATACGAAATCATAAATGTCAATATTTTTATAATCGTAAATTCACCATTGCCTAGAATGATCTGAAAAACATCAGCATAATGTAAGCCCATTTTTGTAATAAATATTTACAAATTATATTTTCTCTATTTATTTTGATTTTTATATTTAATATATATCTTTTGTGAAAGAACAAGGATTTCATATAGGTCTGATATCAATATTTTTTATGTATTGTAACTATTTCACAATTCATAACGTTTGTTTTTCATTTTTAACTTAAATAACTATATTCTAACGTTATATATGACACACTATATTGATAAGATGTTGCTAATTTACTTAGTTGTTAACTGTAGTAGCTTGGTAGTGAGTTTGGTCTTGGACTTTAATAATAATAATAATTATTTATTTCACTTCACAAACATGGATGGCAAGAAATTATGTAGCATTTTCGATAATACAATGTGAAAAAAATGACTATAACAATCAATTGCTGAGTGCAGCTGATGTCTGAAATAGGTATAACCTGTAATACAAATCACCTGGCCCCCAACTAAAAGTATATGTGATATAGGTTAAAGAAATTACTATGTGTATACTGTACCAAATAAATAATTAGTTTAGGATATACACTTTTTATTGCACTTAAATACAGTTTTAGGTATGTTAGTTAGAAATAATACTAACAAAGGAGGACATATCTCTAAAAGAGATCTCTTCCAGTCAACCAAATACAGTGTGGCTTAGGATATGTTCAGAGAGCCAAATTTGCAAATAATAATTTAATAATAATGTCATAAATAATTAAAACTAAACATATTAATCTACTACTGCTCAATTATTAAATATATGTTATACTGTGATATATTGGCCTAAACTGGTTAACCTAGAATTCTTAATGCAGACTGACTTTACAGAAGCTAATACAAGATTAAACAGTAATAAGCAAGTGAAAATGAAATGTTATAAAAAATAAATAACAACAATGTTTATATAATTCTAAATATCAGCAACTCACACATATCACCTCGTGTATCAGGTGTCCATAGGCTATGGTACCCATTTACTATTAGATAGGCCATATGATTGGTTGCCATAGTTGAAATATAAAAAAATATTATAAATACATGTATCAATGTTATTACTATATTTGAATACATAATAAAATATTCATCATCATTCATTTAACTTACTAGAACAATGAAACTTTTTTCTTTGCTGATTTTGGATTAAGTTGAATTGAATTTTTATTATTGACTTTTTTTTTTATTTATTTGGTTTAGGTCACTATAACATTGCAGGTAGAGCTAGTACAAATATGCATATAATGGAATATTTTCGTTTTCATTATATTAATATGTGATACATTGCACATAGACCACTATCACCATATATTGTATGGAAAATATAATTTGAAAAAAAAAAACATTATAATTGGCCATCACAAATGGATCCACTCGAACCGGGAAATACCACACCTCTTCAGAATTAACATTAAGTGTTATTACATTTTGCATAATGAAAAACAATAATAATGTAACACAGTTGGTACTGTGTCAATTATGTATAGTGGTTTTTTTCCATATTACATTCCTCATCATATATGGTAGACTTTTACCAGTACTAACTTATATCCTGTTCCATACTGATTATGAATTATATTGTGTATGTTATCTTGTAATACATATAAACCAAACTATAAACACAGTGATATTAAAACAAACCACCAATAATTTGTTTCCTTTAATCTGGAATACTATAGGGCAAAAATATATTTCGAGACATGGTTGTCATAAGTCTAGCAAATATATATTTTTTTTAAATAATAATTATATAATATCCCTGAATAATTCACAGAGCGCCATCTAGCTACAAGATAAACAGAGCTATTGTTATGGGTTCTAGATAACTGATATAAATACTTAGATACATTTTTTGGTAAATACATATGTAACATGTACATATAATACATCCAGATCAATATAAACAATCATATGCATGAATACAAATATTTACATCATATGAGGATTCAAACCCGCTACCCTTGTAAGCACTGTGCTAAACTATTTACATTATTAAACATTATACGCAAAAAACCATGAAAATTCAATTCCACTGAACTTTCACCAACTCATGGGAGTACATTGAATGAGCATGATTTGCAACAATTTTGCACTTCGTGAATATTTTGTATATTAATACACGAAGCGAAAATTTTGTACCCCTTTTTACGAAAAGTATGCAGACGGAGGTGTATGAAATTTTATTCACTTATAGTTCATATAGATCTATTCACACAGTCACATCCGTCATTCTAGAAGGGAAGAACATTTCAATACTAAATATGTATATTAAATATGTGCATAGACTACTATACAGTGGGTTGCCAAATTAATAGGGACAGTCACGAAATATTCGTTTTTTGTAAAACATTGGTCTATAATTAATTAAAAACGTCACTTTAGGCTATAATTATATTTAATAATATCAGACACATATCTTATAATGAATTTAGACTATAATAATTTAATATTTGAACAACTAGAAAATATAAACAAGTATAATAAAAATGATGATGGGAAATTATTAGTATTTTGTCACATTTCCTTTTGCTTCTATCAGTGCTTGAATCCGCCTCGGCATACTTTCAATACACTGTTTAGCACTTTCTTTTATTTTGGGATTGTGAAACCATACATTTATTAATTTTTCAATTAGTTTTACTTTGGTAGTTATGATTTCCTTAGCAATTTCCGCCTTGGTAATTTCCCACAAGTTTTCTATGGGATTCATATCAGGAGAATTGCCAGGCCGAGGTAAAACTGGAATGTTGTGGTCTTCCAAAAATTTGGTTACACTCCTCGCTTTATGACATGGAGCTGAATCGTGCATAAACACGAATTCCTCCCCATTCGGGAACCATTCCTGAAGTTGCGGCAACAGGCGAGTTTCTAATACTTGCTTGTATTGGTCCTGTCTCATGGTTCCCTGGACGATATAGAGACGCCCAACTTCTTTTGCGCTGATGACAGACCATACCATTATTTTTACAGGGTGTTTAATTCGTTCCACTATGCAATCAGGATGAAATTTCTCGCCTGGGCGCCGCCTCACGAAGTTACTTTTGTTGGCCAGAATTTCAAAAGTTGACTCGTCTGAGAAACATACCTAAAAAAATATAGAAACTATTTATAATTTTTGTAAATATGATTTTATATAACACAAATAAAATTAACCATAGAACTGACCTTATTCCAGTCTTCAACAGTTTTCAGGCGGTGCTCACGAGCCCAAGCAAGCCTTTTCTTTTTCATCGCCTCTGTTAATCGGGGTTTCTTAACTGGACGATGACCTGTCAGGCCTTCCTCTGCCAACCTTCGCTGTACAGTTCTTTTTGAAACACGTATTCCAGATTCCTGTACTATCTGAGTTAAAAATCCAGCACTTTTCTTTCTGTTTTGCAAGCAGATATCTCGAATTTTCCTATCGGAACGTGTTGTTGTGATACGTTTTCTGCCACATTTGCCTTTTCTTTTGGGCGAAAGTGGCTGATTTTGATCTAAATTTATTTTTATTTTATTGACGGCAGATTTCGATATCCCGGCCAGTTGTGCTATCATCCTCTAAGAGTGATTTGTGTGTAGGAGAAGGGTTTTAACCTCGGATTTTTTTCTCGGAGTCAAATCTACCCATAGCCAAAGCTGAAAATATAAAAATAAATTAAAATTGTTCTAAAATCCGCTCCAAAATACTTTAATTTTAATTATAGTAAAATATTACTTACTTGCAGGTATTGATTATTTCACAAAACCACTAAAGAACTGTTTAAAAGAATAATTTACGTGTTTCACTTTTACACGTGTGAACGACTGTGTGTCTCTCCCGTCATTAAAATATATTTCCAAAATAAACAAATCTCTCAGCACTTGAAATTCACTTTGAATTTGAGTTATAGAGACAAGGTGAACATAAAAACATTTCAGCAAAAAACTTTTACCACTTAAAAATGTAGTCAAGACCACTTGAAGAACAAAAATTATAAAAAATGTGACTGTCCCTATTAATTTGGCAACCCACTGTAGCTGTCGTGGTTGGCTTTTTATATTATTAAAAATACTATACTATACTTGCAAATAATTCACGAAATGTATGGAAATTTGACAGCCTCGGTGTTCTAGTAGTTTCACGCACCGCCTTACTACCGATGGTCGCGGGTTCAATTCCTCGCACGGCACAAACATTTGTATTCATGAGTATAATTATTTGCGACGG